GGCTACCATCTTGGTGTTGTCAATACCCCGGGCGAGATCCATCCAGTTCGGGAGTTTAGGGAACCACGAATCAGGGGAACCCGGCTATTGGAGACGTGGGGAAGGGGAAACCGGGGCCGTGGATGGGATGATGTCCAAAGGTTAAAGTTTCTTGGGACGTTCTACACCAAACTCCAGGGTTGAGTAGACTATCTGGTTAAAGATCTTAAAGAGAGCGGAATAATAATCGATTCCTAACTTTGTAGTAACCTAAATGTTCACGAAAGCCCGTCACCCACTCTGACCTCATTCGGTATCTCTTTTCTTTAAGGCACATAAAGTAACCACAAACTCCAGGCAGTTTTATTGCCGACGTCACTTGGCGCCCCGGCTACCCCGGCATGGCTTTCAACGCACGGGATTCGAGGAGATATAATCTGCCCTGGCACTCCTGGGAAGCAGTATGGACTGCCGGCGGAAAATGCGGGGTTAGACTGCCGTAATCCGCGCTGCTGCGCCGGGGGCTTCCCGCGATGTAACCGAGAAGAGTCGACCAGGTGGAGTTGGGAAGTTGGGGCGCGGCGGGATTCGATCGGGCGTTAATTTACTGGAAACGCGCCGGAGGTTTTCGTTGCGTGCGAAGCTCTCTTCTCCTTCTCCTTGTGCAAGCTTGCGTGTTTTCTTCTTTATGAAAAGAATGAGGGTGAAATTCCGTTCAATCTTGATGCTACGGACGTACACGGCCCAGCTTCGTGGAGGTACGGAGTTTACAGATATCGCTGTATGCACTCTCATTCCAAATCTTGACATTTTTAATCTCAGGTAGTTCAGCGTTGGCCATGATAACGGGCTCGTTTGATCGGCGCATATGGGATTTCGCTTGTGCACGCCTTCGAGACCTGTCATTTTAACGTGCATTACGTGCGTGCGCATCCGATCTGATTTACCGCACTCTTGGCTGCCGCTGGTCTTGGTGATTACGTGATTACCTAGGTACCTAAAATCTGATCTGGTCTGGTCGGAAAACTACTTGGTCCCTGGATCCTACGATTCCTGTTCCCTGACAGACCATCTGACGGTTCTGACCCTACATTCGCTTATCTGAGGCTCTCAGCTGGATATCGAGACATGACGCACCAGTTGGAAGTATGGTTCTGTAATCTGTTAGGTCTCCCTTTTCTTCACGTGAAATCCAATAGTATGCAGATTCGTTTACCAATAAGGTGCTCTCTCGCGTCATTGTTATGATTTATCAGTGACGATGATGCAGTCATCGTGGCCGGCCCATCATATCCCCATGAGCATGGGATGATCAGAAGATCGCTAGCACGGATGTCTGAGCCTCATTGGAGAAACTTTTAGTGAGCCCAACTGCCACTACCTACCAGGTATTTCGTAAAGTCTATGTTCAACTTGGAACCCTCCAAGGATGATATCAAGAACCATATTGCAGCTGGTATCGAAATGAAAGCATAAAAGCAAACGCGGAGAGGTCCGACCTCATGGTGGCGCTGCTGAACTCCAGCTATGGCTAGCTCACAGCCTCATGACCTGGGGTAGAAGGGCTAGGCAGACTCATATGAACCGCTCGTGGCTTTCGTGTGAGAAAAAACCAAGAACGCCAGTATGAGATGTGATAGTGGCTCAAGAAACACTTGCCGTGGTTAACGATACTTGGTTTTTCTGTGCACTTGTTGAACGCCTTCGAACTAGACTCGGACAGCAAGCCATCTGGGGACGTGAACTGGTTCAGCACTTGAGATATTTGGTTTTTCTTCGTATCTGCAGAGCGAGCCTCGCGTGGACAGCTCCGAACCGGACTATTTTGACGGTATATGAGATGTGAGGGAAAAAGTTGAATTTACATACCACGCTACCATAGAGAGGGGACGGTACGACTTGTCTGCGCCACTTGGCATACGCCATCGATTATCCGTACCTGTCCAGGTAATAAAGCGCCTCATTCTAGCCTCGGAGACAGGACGCGTCTGGTTCGGACGAGAGACTGGGGCCACTCGGAGGTCAAGATAGGTAGTGAGTGATCTTCGGCGCTGCCATCCCACGAATCTGGGAAGATCTCCTTCGGCCCTGTTATGTCTTGGTTGTCTACCTGGCCTTTCCTTGTTTTGAGCCTGCGGACGTGCGTCGTGCCTGAGCCGGTGGAGACGCGTCGCGGTGGTGGTGATGTTTGGGTAAGAAGGGTAGAGGGGGGTGGTGGTGTGTGTTGACAATTGGCACATTGACTAGCGGCGGGTTCATCTGAGTAGCGTAGCCGATGGCATAGACTCAACTCTAATCAGATATCATTGCTTTTCAATATGCTTGGAGGGGCGTGTGCAGTCATGTCTTTTGATATCTTATCCTGTCTTGGTATATCGACACTCAAGAGGGTTGACCTAGGACAAGTTCAGGGGATGGATGTCCCGGTTCCGAGGAATGGAATTTGAGTTGTTAGTCTGAATCCCGGCGCTTGTCTCATCTGTCCTGCGTTCCCGATCGGAAAGAGAACAGGGGACATTCAAGAAGGGGTGGTCGGTTCCACGTGCTCGGGACCAGACCATGAATCGCGGAACTTCCTGAGCCTGACTGTTCTTGAGGAAGGAAAAGAGGCTCTGAGAGAGGAGAGAAGAGGGTGGTGTAGGTGAAGACGCACTGTGACAGGGTTCTAGGAGAGACGGACTGAGACTTGTGGCGTACGCCGGCCGGTACGGGTCTTCGCGGCGGCGGGCGACCGGCATGCGCTAGACCAAGAACATAGGACTGGGCAAAAAATAATTGGTAAGACTGAGGAACGGACGGAACCACGGAACGTCCATCGAGGAATGGAAAACGGGTAAAATCGCGCGGCGCGGGAGCCAACAGAGAGACAGGAAGAGCCATTTGCCGCAAGAGGGTGCCCGTTGGTGGCTTGTCTGCCTCCTCCGCAGAGGATGGGCTGGACTTGGCTTTTAATTGACATACTCACATCCTGTTATCAGCCATCGTCCGCGGCGTTGTTGAGGGGTCGAGACATGGACCGGCGGGAATGTGTCGGATGGAGCACGTGCGGGCTTTGCTGATGGGCTATCATTTTGACTTGTTTCCATTGTCTTCCACGAAGACTATGCGTGGTTTTCTTTGTTTTTCGGGAGGGGACCTATTCCCACGCGTTCCTCTTGTGGCAACAATGCCACGGCCGTTGATTGAAACACACAAGAGGCGTATCCGGGGAAGCGTTAGAAGGCGAATTTTGAAGCGGTGGTGTCTTGAGTCTTCCAACATCCCACGTTCACTCGCTTAAGATACTTGCGTTACTGACAATGGCGGTTGCCATTGCCCTGGATTTCTTCATCGCCGACTGCAGTAGGTTGGATGATCGAATTGAGGATTCTGCCTCGGGTGGAGACCTGTTCTCATCTGCAATAAAATCCATCAATATACGGGGTTTATGTCGCATGTGGGCTGGCCGACGGGCGTATCATCTCCTACAAATTCTTGCTATATGCATGTCTCTGCCACTCATGCAGCTTAACGATTCGGGACATGCACAATTACCCTCGGTGGTTGAATTTGCCCCCCCCCCCTGCTCTCTCGCCCAGAGACGAGGCTTCGGATTTTTTGACGCTAGGAAAAGCTGGAAGATGGGATCCGGGGAATGCGGGCTGATCCTGATTGGGTAACTGAAGTGCCCAATCGAGGATAACCTCGTTTTTGTCTCTCATATTCGGTCTCGGACTTTTGCGACAGCTGGGTTTCGATGGGTGGTTAGGTAATTGGTTCGGCAATCCACCCGTCAAAGAAGGGGTACTCGGGGCTCGTCTTGCTATTGGCAGCCCAGGCCCAAGGAATTTGACGTGAGAAGCGAGAGAGAGGAGAAGCCTGCAGAGTGGAGAGATTAACAGAGAGAGTGGATGAGGCAAGATGTCTCTCAGTATTTGCGTTTTGTGCATTAGTGCCTCGGAGCTGAAAGATGCAGCTACTGCAGGATTCACCAGGGATTGATGCAATCGAGATCTACATGACGAAAAGGAGATCACCTGCATATTGAGCGGCGACATTGAATGTCTGGTGGAGGTTGAATGTCACTCAATGCCAGGGAAAGTACCTAGATATCGCCATACTGGTGTCTTTCACAGGTTGAACTCCTCACCAAGGTATGACGACGAGCTCGAGAGCCTATCGTCAGGGGTTGCGCCACACATCTTTGCTTGTCCATCATGGAAAATCTGACGTTTCTATGAAAGACAATGCTCGAACTTTTTCGTGTCCGAGTTGCTTGTCATAGAAAGCCCCTTGATGTATCATGTCATGGTTCCAACAAGAGGCGAAATGGTTTCTGGGAGATACTGGTTTTCAAAGGGTAGTCCTCTAGATATTACAGTTATCAACGATGACTATTAGACAAATTCTAAACTGTATGTATCTGTAGCTGCCAATGTTTATCCTCGACTAAATGTTTCCATTATCAATACATTGTGGGATACTGGGCGGTAAGGAGGGTTGTCAGTCCATCATCCAATCTATGATTTTGCCCAGCTTCTCAATAACCCTAGTTCAAGGCTACTTTCCTAGCCAGGATCTTTGAAGTCACATGAGGCATATTGTTTCGACTTTTACCTTTGTTCTTTTTGCCGGTGAAGCTGCTATGATCGAACGGCTTTGCCAGTCCGAGTCTCGATGCTTGCTTCTAATTGGACTCCAGAAGGACTTTCTCAAGTTTCTCAACTATGACCCTTTGCACAAGTGATGAGAGGAGAAAATGTGAAGTTGGGTTTGATCTCCGTGTAACAACAATGGAAGTGCCAACAGAGAAAGCGTCTACGTTTGAAAAAGTTGTCAAGGGCCATCGACGGATATGTCTGTACTAAGCAAGTGTGGACACCATTAATCATGTACAACTGCAATAAACTCTGAACTGTCAGATATGCGGCCGGTCATAGACTCTCATCACATATTCAGAGTGCTGCATAGCACAGAGCAACTAATAGCAGGCAGGCAAGTCGGATATGATTCTGTTGACATATGGCCAAGGCGAATAACATGCGAGGAAGCCGTTGTTTTAGGATATTTATCGAGGTACTAACCGAACCCAGAACAAGGAACAATCGAAGCCACGGGCTGCAATCGTATTAACGCCATGGCTGCGTATCCAGTGGGAGCAGATCGAAGGTTGGATTCCGAGCACGGCAACACAGTTTTCCTCTCATAATTCCCAGCTTCTTCCGAGTCAAATGATGCAATGAACAGACATGATTGACATTGCAAAGGACATTTGAGAACATTTATGTGCTAATCAACAACTTGAATACGATGATGTGGTATCTACGAGCCAAACTAAAATTGGCTTTGCCGTTCTATGATTCGCAATCATTGCCTCTAGAGCCAAGACCCAGGTCTATCAAATACTTCTAGGCAATGGGACCGTAGAAGCTGAACTTGCCATTGGGGTCGTACTTGGTCTTCAGAGATTGAAGACGGTCCTGTCTCCATTGCTCGCTACCGTACCACTCCTTAGGAGTCTCATCACCAAAGGCATAGTTGAGGTACACGTGCTGCTCAGTGCGGCCGCTTCCTTCATGGATGATGTCACGGAGCTGGTTACCGAGCGTGGCGGCCTTCTGATCGAGCTCAGTGCCGTTGGGAAAGTAAGTGATAAGGGGCGCGAAGAGAAGGTTGTCGCTGCGATAAGCAAACGCAGTTGAGTCGCTCGCAATGGCCTTGACACCCTCGTTGGAGTAACCCTCAAACATGAAGAGAGAGTTGTTGAACGGTGAGTCGCCGCTGATAGAAGAAGCGAAGAGGTCGTACGCCTTACGTTGAGCCTCAATGTTGTATGCCTCGACGTAGATGGGGAAGCGAGGGTTGTTCAAGCCAACCTTCTGGCATGGGATGGAATCAAGAGCAATACCGGTCCACGTGGCGAGGTCAAGGTAGGTTCCCGAGTCCGGAGTGGCGGAGATGGGGCCGATGTCCGTGAAAGGCTGAGTGTAGACGGAGTCGACAGTGGTAACACCCTCCTGGATAACCCAGAAAAGAATGATGGGCTTGACTAATATTAGCAGTACTCTTGGACAATGACAGACAGTCTTCACTCACGTTCTCCGGGTCAGCATCGGGATTCCTGAGCCAGTAGGACCAGTTGATAACTTCAGCAGCCTGGGTGCCATTCTTGAGGAGGTGCTCATTGGCAGCCTGGTAGACTTCCTCAACCTTCTCGCCGCTGAAGATGAACGTCTCAACTGCCCAGTCGCTATGTTCGATGTCATAGACCTTGACATTGAGAGAGGTGACGATGCCAAAGTTATGGCCAGCGCCCTTGACAGCCCACCAGAGATCTGAGGTCTCATTGATGGTCTGTAAGGTGCCATCGGCCAGTACAATGTTCATGGAAACAAATTGATCGGCAACCAGACCGTGGTGACCCTGAAGCCATCCATGACCACCCCCAAGAGCAGGCCCGAGCGTGCTGACGCACTCGCATGTTCCCGTGACTGCAGTACATGGTCAACGACACATCTCGACAAGGTAAGAGTGATGGAGATAAAGCTAGAACGGAACTTACCTGTCTGCTTGCCGGCGGCCCAGAGCGTGTCGGTGACGAGCTTGGACCCGGTACCACCGCCAATCTTGGCGGTTGTTCCGTCTGCAGCAACCTCGACACCGCTCAGCTGGGACAAGTAGATTTCGATACCGTTGTCCATCTTGCCCAGAGTGGTGATAGCGCCATGCACGCCATTGTACGCAAGGAAGGGCATGCTCTTCTCGTTGGCAAATTTGACCTGTAGGCAGGTTGGTTAGCACCTGCTTCGCGCCTAATCACATTCGGACGAAACTAGAGTCATTCACTTACAGTCTCTGCAACATCGCTCTCAGTTCCGGGAATCACCACGAGGTTGGGCTTGGGTGCATCAAGGTTCGACCACCGTATAGACGCGTTGGTAAACTCGGCAGTGCCCGGCTGGTAGATCTTTGCGGTAGCTGAGAGCCTATCGCCAAGCTCAGCCGTATCTCTCGGGCAGATGCCTCCGAGGAGTTGACGAGCGACAGGAACGTTTAGGCATGCTGAGGTGATTGCCCATGCAGCAACGGCTGTAAGGACTTCCATCTTGAATCGATGCATCTCGGCAGGGGGAAGGGGCAGGAGAGGGAGCCGGATTGGCAGTAGATAAACTCTCGATAAACCCAAGGATGCAACTGGTGACACAAAAGCTGGCCCAAGTGTAACCTAGATGTCAAGAGAGTTCGAAACGAATGTGGTGGTAGTGAACGGACAGACCCCTCGTGGTTGAGTGCGCCTGGTTCCAAACAGTCAATCCATCGACAAGCAGCAGCGATTCGACCATTATTTATCGTGCATGGGAGGTGTGATGGATTCTGTAAGCCAAGTTTACCGGGCGCAACGCTGCTTGCATTCTTAATTTCGATCCCTTGCTTGTGTGCCCCTGACATGCATGCGTCCCTGCTTATTCTACAACGGAGCCGCCAACCAAGTTGATCAAAAGTGGTGAAAGCTCCTCGCGACCCTCGTCAATATATGTGGCTGTAGTCCGCGTATCCCGGGGAACACAATGACGAATTGTCCAAACTTATGCGCTTTCTGGATGCTGGATTAAACCGTGCGTACTCTCTGGGAGACCTCTTTCTTCGCACGCAGGTCAGTGAGATGCCTCGACATGGCCCCCATCTCAATCCACGTGTCTCTACCAGTGTTCATTTGTAAGTGAGTTACATTCATTTACCAAACTCCCAATCAGCATGAATACCGCAGCGGAGCCCTATGGCCCAAGGTTACTTTGAGGAGGGAAATCGTTCCATGCAGTCCAAGCGTAGCGAATAGTTCCGACCGGTGTTTGTAAATCCTGCGGCCCGTACCATGGGACACCTGTGTAGTGTGTACCGACAAGTCCAACGGCTGCCAACTTCTTCTTAGTGCCAAGTCAAGTCAAGTCAGAGACAAAACTCCGAATGCTACCCATCTGTTGCACCTCTTCGCACTTCGGCGATGAGATATATCCTACTCTCCACAATCCCCCACCATGATTCTTCCTTCAATGCTGCTACGAGACGTTAGGCCCTCGGCTGTGCGGCATCTGGTACCTGGTACAGCGCAGCCACAAAATCCCTCGTGCCAAGACTTTTGAGGGGGGGTATCTTCTGTTGTGGAGTGCCTCTTCTCAGTGCTGCTCAGGAAATCTGGATGCATTTACACAAGGGTCAGGAACCAAGCCGAGGCAGCTATGGCTCGGGAAGGTTGATTGAACGTCAGGTCAGAGAATCTCGAAATCTGAAATCCGTTTGTCTCTCGGGCCGCTTTGACCTGTCAACCATCCCCTCGGACCCATGTGAAGTCTTTCATTTTCTTTCCCCCCTTCTGGACGTTTTCTCGGCATGACCGTCTGATATGAGAGATTCTGGGTTAAAGAATTCGGCTGCTCGTGTCCGGGCCTGGGCCCTCTCAAATGTAGCCCCGTTTGCAAATCCTAGGCCGTTTAGGTCTGGTGTTCGCAACTCGCCCCCGCCCCCTCATCACATCACCCGAGGTATCCTCATTACCTTATCGTAAAGAAAATTATTGACAGTGGGGGCGCTCTACACCGGGGGGAAGCACCCGTGTTCCGCTTGGGCCCCCTACAGAAGAGTGCTATCCACTTTCGAGTCAGGGGGCAGCCATGGATTCGATTCCACCATCATGATCTAGGACCTTGGCAAGTGGAGGAGAGCTCCGTCAACTGAACGCTGAATAGTTCACCGGACGGGAGATTGGAGGCAAACTCAGTCCAAAACATGGCTGCGAAGCTGCGTTTGTTTTATCATCTGTAATCTGAGCTGATGTTAGGAAGCCTACGGATCGAAGCGTGCGGATGAAGCGGATGAGGGCCCAATTCTTGAAGTGATGGTATCCCTGTTTTTGATCCCAGAAATGCTTCTATCTGGTAACCTTGTGAAGAGCCATGGCCACGGAGACAACTTGAATTGCCAAGTGAGAGATGAAAGAGACAACCGGAAGCCGGATGATGAGCGAGTGTAACACACTCCTGAGCCATCACCGTTGCGGTAGCACCGCGTCCTGCTCACCAGATGCGGGATTAGTCCGACGAACATGTCCAAAGATCCTTGAACCCTTAGTGTTGGTATCCCTATCACAGGGTATTGGTTCGAACCGTAGGATCCTGGGGGTGACGAAGTATCAATATCTCTGTATTGGTTGATTCTGCGTAAGGAGTAGAAGGGAGATTCCAACCGGAGGTTGGGTGGACCGTCGAGGTGTAATTGTACTCTCTTGAGGTGGCCCCTGCTCTACCCTTACTCACGGTCGAATTGGGCTTCCAATCCGACACTTAGAAACTGCACTGTGGTTTGTCTTGGGGCTTCCCATACACGAAGTTTGGTTTGCACTGTCACAGCTCGGAGATGGAGTTATGCAACAAGAAAAGCTACATGGGGTCCCTGCAAATTCATCCAAAGTCGCCTTGCGGATAGTAGGGGAAACGTCTCCTCCGCCATGGGTTGCATCAGTTGGGACTCTACGCTCCAACTTGCTGCGTTTAAGCCTGTTGCCATGTTTCCAATGATCGATGTTCCGGTTCTTGTGCACTAGTGTTGGATCGCGGACCCTGATTCAAACATCTATACTTCCTTCTCGATTCAGTTAAGCTCCTCCTGGTCTCTCAAGATTTAATACTTGTATGCATGGCGTTCCTCGCTCTATCTTGCCTCTTCCTCGGTCGTCTCCGCAGTTATTGGACATATTTCGACCCCGCTCCCTCGAATGACACACAACCTGCCTATGTCGACCACTGATCCCACGGACCCAGCTGCGCAGGCTGCAGCTGCAGCTGCCGCCGAGGCAGGTCGACAGTTCACGATCGAGGCGTGGACACTCTACGGCATCGGAGTGATAGTCACGGCCTTGAGGACGTATGCTAGAGCAAAGGCTGTGGGGTTCCGAAATTTTCGGGCTGACGACTACCTTGTGTGGGCAGCAATCGTATGTGTTTTGGATGATACTACGGCACTAAAGAAAGCTTGTTGCTGATCTTCATCTACTTTGTGTGCAGCTCTTCTACACAGTCCAATCTACCCTGGCCTACTCTGTTGGCAACATCGCTCACGGGCTAGCTAATAATGGCATGACGGACGAAGAGCGAGCGGCACTATCTACGAGTGATCCAGAATATCAACTCAGGTAAGTCGGCATTGACACCAATGCCCCATGTCATTCGTTAAACCGGAACACAGGATCATCGGATCCAAGATCCAAATTGCTGGGTGGACCACTTACTCGGCACTCATCTGGCTGCTGAAGCTCGCGATGCTGGTCTTCTACATTCGACTTACGGTATCTACTCCCTACTTACTATCTAGCCACGTCATATATAGTTGTCGACTAAGACCAACATTTAGGAAGGTCTAGGCCGTCGATATCGCATGCGGATCTGGATTGGCTTCGGTCTTGTCATCGGGACATTCGTCGCCTCTCTTGGAGCAGTGTTCTTGTCGTGCATCCCCTTCAGCAAGTACTGGCAGATTAGCCCGGACCCCGGAAGTAAGTTCATGATCCCCATGACCAAAAGCTTAACACATGCTCACTAATGTTCTTCTAGATTCCTGTCAAGCTGCTGTCTCGTTACCGATCATATGGACCTCCTTCGCTGCGAATGTTTCGACCGATATCTATCTCATTCTGATTCCAATTCCTCTGCTGTGGGAGTCAACCTTGAGACTCGCCAAGAAGATTGCATCGACCATTGTGCTCGGTGCAGGCATCTTCGTCCTGGTCTGTGCCACGCTCAAGAGCATATTCGTGCTCGTGGTACGTTTCATCCATCGCGAATAGTCCTCGTTATAATTCTTATCTGTTCACTAACATTGAACTAGGATCCCGTCAATGGTGCCCAACTTGCCGGCACATGGGGTACTCGCGAAACCTTCGTCGCAGTCGTCACCACGAACCTTCCCATGATCTTCCCTCTCATCAGAACATATCTTAAACCTCTTTGGCCCAATGTCTTACGATCATCCAAGAACACCAAAAAGGCATACAAGACACCGAGCGGCTTCCGAACCATTGGGGGCGGCCATGGGGATTCCTCGCACCGGACTGGTCCTCTTAGCGCAAACCCTGTCGCCTCCAACGTGACTTTCACCGAAAGCGAGGAACGCATAATGAGCGATGTGAAGTTGCAAAACCTTAAAGGCTCTTCTACGCCCACATCAGGAAAACCACCGAACGGTATCGTGGTATCGAACGAAGTTGAGATCGTTACCGAGGACAGGACCAGCCAATTTGGTGAGCAGCGCCCTCAACGAGCACATGAAGCTTGGTAGCCTCGGAGTTCTTTTTACTTGTTCATTTTCGATTGGTTGCAATTTCATGTCTTGCTACTTGCTCTATACCAATTTTCTATATTCAATCCATCAATTCTCTATGTGTTTGCAGGCGTTGCATGCTCGTAATACCTCGGGAAGCGGGTCTGACTTTTCCATGCAGTTGAACGTCACACCAAAAGTTGGCTCGACTGTTGAATGACAGAAAGATCACTGTTGCTTAATGATCCAAGTGGAGGAAACAGATTCCTCCTTAGGTAAATGTAGCATGAAATCTCCGAAGTTTCTTGGACTGGCTCGGCCTAAATGATTTGAAACTCTGCCTGCGCAGCAAAAGTTTGTATCACGACCAGTCTAGGAAGAAAGGCAAGCTCACGTTGTACCAATGCATATCTGCCCACATTCCGGCTCTGGCATGCTCACCTAGTTGACTGCAACAAGTAGTTGTTGCTGTAGATGTTCGAAACACATATGCAAGTAACAAACTATTATCTACTTGGCATTAGCCGGAAACCGAATATCACCGATATGTCTTGCAAATAGTTTGGCAAGCACAGATGCAGCGGAGGCATAATTGCAGCCAGCCGTCTCCATGTCCCCACATGATCCGTCTATCTTGTAGTCGAAACGGCGATTGTCTTGCTGACGCCTGAATGCTACGTTCTGAAGCTTCGAAAACACTTTGGGCAGTCGGGCTGGAACAGGCTATCTGGGGCCCACCTCATGTTGCTTGCTTTCTATTGTGGTTCCCCGCGGTGGGTAAGGTGACCAACCCGCCCAAGAGGCCTCCCACTTCCCGTGCCCTCTTTCATCATTCTCAGGGTGTGTAGATACCCAGTCTAAGAGAGGTCTCGTGATGTGATAAACAAGAGGACTTGTCCAGGACTTGTTCCCTGGGGGTTCAAGAAGACCCGCGACCCGAGCCCTTGGAATTTCAAGTTTATTACAGGGTTTCTGAGACGCACGGAGTGAAAGCTACACACAAGTAAGGACTGAGTGAGTTGAAGGTTGTACTCCCACGCATTGCTACCTACTTGTACTACAGACTTTGGCCATGGATACCAGGTTATGCAGATTTCAAATCTGGCTTGGACTAGGTACAACAAATAGTCTGGTTGTAACAGCGCGGGAAGGAAAGAGTGAGACCAACATTAAGTTGCAGATACCACTATGAGAAATCACGATCTTCTACAAAGCGCACTGCTGTCTGCGACATGTATAGCCTACCTGTATATCCCATCGAGTGCCAGATAGCTCCATTTTTGCCAAGGGCGGGGTAGAGCCAATAGGGACTTGTGAATCTGTCGAGTCAACCAATAGGGTAATAGTACCTCTGTTCCTTATATATTTTGGGTATGCCATAGGTACCAGCAGTCCCCTTCAATACATAAAGCTACATTATAGTCCAAGCAGCCCTTCCGCGTCCTTTTCTTCTGTATGAGGCTATTCCCAGATATCTTAGCTAGGGTCTGGCGGGCCCTTAATGCTTTCTTATTACTACAGTAGGCACAAAGTGAATTAGCCCCCCTTGATCCCTTCCTGTGGTTTTCTTATAGAATAGAGGTATTCCTTTGTTTATAGCCCGTCTAGGCCGTGACCTCTGCCGTCCTTTTACTAATAGCCTAAACTGTTGAATAAGCTGGGCTACAAGCAACTGCCGCTATTGGTACTGGGTTTTCACCTTCTGCCACCTAGGGCTGCCCCAGAGCTGTAGTAGGAAGCTATTTACAACAACTTCTTCTAGTAGGAAATTCCAGGCAATTAACTGCCAGCCCCCTCGACGAATAGGGTGGTGACAGAATCCATGCATGCTTCTACGCGAGTCATGGACATAACCCATTCAGAATGGTCTGACTGGACTAAAACAGGCCAGCCTGTCATTTCCACCTGGTCCTAGCTCTGCAAGACTTATTAGGATAGCATTAGGCCCACAAGCCTGTGGTGAATCCTTCCACTCTTTAGTACGAATAGACGCTCTTTTCTGCTCACTCACATATGCATATTCCGCTGGCCACCCTGACTAACCGTCAGGTGGCCATATTGATAATAGGACCTCATCTAGTCAGTAGTCACTGACATCGACCCCATTCATCTTGTAGTTGTATTCATCGATTGCCTTAGGGACTGGAAGGTCCTTTCGGACGTCTGGGCCAAAGACTTGCCGGGCAGCTCTCTTGGCAGCGGAATCCCCAGCTGGGCGGCGGCGGCTGCGGATAACTTCCTGGCCGTTCTGGAAGACAGTTGATAGGAAGAGTACAAGGGCATTATCCTTCCAGGTGAATTGGTTGACCTATTTATTAGTTAGTTAGTTAAGTAAGCAGGGTAGCAGGCAGGTAACTTACCTCCCCATCTAAAGTAGGGATATAGTGTATTTCGCCCTAAGGAATACCCCGTCCCTCAGTCTTTTTCTCAGTAACTAGGATCTTATCTATCCTACTATCCTTCCGGCAAGTACCAGAAGCTCCAACTTGCTGATTTCGTAGGGTACGAAAGAGCCGTATAGAGGCAAAAAGGTTATTAAGAAAGACGTGGTAGGTTGCAGCTGGAAGTAGGGAAATAAGGGTAGTTACTACCTGCTGCGTTGGTGTCAACAGAGCCAGCTTTCCAGCTGGGCTGGCTGGGCGTGGGGGACTAATGCGTATAGGCGCTTTCCATGTACGTGCCAGAGCCACCGTATACAGTAGCCAGACTGCGCAAGGATCCAGATCTTATAGGTTAGGATAGGTTTTGTTGGAATCGTTGTTATTTCTAGAGATCGACCTATAAATCGGACCATAGCCTCATTAACTATAAGATCTGAACCAGTTATATAAAGGGAATCCCCAGTCTCTTAAATATGGGCTGACCACTAATTAACCTTCCGGTATACATCCGGCATTTAATCTTAGGCCCGGCCCCGGCCCCGGCCCTAGTAGGGCTGGCTAGGCTGGCTAGGCTAGAATTCAGCAGTATTGAATATTCGTAGCTGCTAGAGTAATAGTTAGAATCGGTTTCTAAAAATAAATCGCATAAATAAGTAAATAGGATCCTCCTTTTACTACTAGGCTTGTAAGGGGCTGGCCCCTAGGCTTATTAAACGTAGAGGTGCCGTCGATTGATTATTCTAAGCTAAGGAGGAAAAGGAGGAATTACAGGGTGTTGCGGCCTAAACGATTGGTCCCGTCATGGCGTAGCTATATATGCAGAACAAGGGACAATGATGACCGGAGTCATCATTATCGAAGCTTTTGCTTTGTGCCACAGTTGGTTGCCTTGACCTGCTCGTAACACAGGGGTTCGCATAGCTATAGTATAATATACCCGGACTTGGCAGTATATTACGGCAGAATAATAGCTCCGGTAAAGCCGGATATCTCGACTGGCTCCGGCCTGCAGCATAACCGAATATAATAATCTAATATAATAATCGGTTATTACAGGTCGCGGTCGGACAACTTCCCAGCAGAGGGGTGTGCGTGCGGCTCCGGCAAGGCCGGAGATCTCAACCGGGCTCCAGCCCGTGACAGGTTAACCAGTAGTTTAATAATCTAGATTCCTTATAGATCCCTATGTATAATAGGATTCCTAAAAAGAGGTAGATTTCTTCTATTAAAGTCTTCCGCTATGAATTCACTCTTACTGTTCTAGTTAGAGGGCCCTGCTTTAACGGTGCTGTATTTATCCACTGGGCCCACTGCTCAACAAGGCCCTGCGGAACGTATTGGACGAATAGGTCAAGCGGGCTTGCTAGCAGCTCCCGTACCTCTTGGGCCCGGGCTGGCACGTCAAAAGGCTGGAAGGAGCCCGGAGGTCCATGCTCGGTAGCCGGAGGTTCGTGGGGCCGGACTGTTGCCGCGTCACAGCGCTCTGGCGTATAGCTTGTATTATAAGTAGCAATAAGGTCTTTTAAAAGGACCTTAATTACTATATAGCTGCGTATAGAAGTAATAGAGGTACTAGAATTACTAGAAGACATCGTAGCATCAATCAAAATGGTAGTAATAGTAGCGATAATAGGTAAAAGAGTATAACTTAGAGGTAAATGACGTGTCGTTAAGTACCCCTCTGAATGCGGGGTAATAATGGGTAAATAATGGGTATTTTGAGCCTTGGCAAAAATGGAGCTATTCCGCACCCGATGGGATACCTTATGGGAAAGACTTGCCTGTTGCAAAAGTTGTTAATAGATAGAGATTGCGACCATACGAGTTAAGGCCCCTTTCTGATATTGAGTATTATCCAAAAGGTCGAGCTCCTAGGGATTGACCTTTTGCCAAGCGCACGACTGTACTAATTATCCCAAGCCAAAACGAACAAACCAGGTTATAGAACCGTGACACGTCCAGCCAAAATGGTTCTAGTCTACTCATTCTGAGTCCGAGGAACCCGGATATTCGTACAAGAAAGTACAGTTCTAGTTTTCTTGGCTATGAATACTTATTGCATGTACCTATGTTAACGAAATATCCAGCCAGTAAAACTTTCTGCGATGGACTGACCGGAGTGTGATTACATATTGTATGGGTCGGAGTGACCGAAGGTGAATAATGCCTGCCCATTTGCCTTGCCTTACATGCCTCTGCCCTCTGTCGTTACTAATCAGATAAATCAAGGCGCCTCTTTCGGGGCCGGGAGCGAGCGTCAGCACTACTGCAATTTTGAAAAGCGGCAACAAAGACAGCATGGCCAATGATAGAGGGCCTGAGGGTGATCCTTCGGCCCCATGTCACCGGCGCTGTGACTAATTCCCGTATTTCCTCGGCGCCGAAATAATGCACGTCACTCCGGGATTTCAGGGTTGATCTTCGAAGTCCGCCAATTCAATTTGACTACATAAAGCCTGACCTGACTTAGTCCCTTGATATGATACGGATAGTATTGGTATTGAGGCATTCAGACATCACTTAGCATCCTAAATTCGCTGAACTATACCGTCTTTGAATCATACAACAAAAGTCTCTTTCTCATCTCAATATGGCTGATTCATTCCCTCGCCGGCGTATCGTCATTTCGAATCTCGATCTCGATTTACCCAATGATGGAGCCAAGACCGAACCCGGAGTTGAGGTAGTCACCGATAACTTGGTGACAGAAAACATGTTCGACGGTCTCTTGCAGAGAACCAAGATTGGGACCGTCTCGGCAGTACCTGCCAGCAATGAAGGACGGTGTGTAGCATCCGGCTCCCCAGAATTAGATGAGTTGTGATTGACTTTTACAGAGGTCTGCCAGCCTTTGCTGATGTCACTGGAAGTGGGATAGTCCTGCCAGGTGGAGTGAACGTTTACTTCTTGGACTTGGCCCCTGGATTCACTACTCCGATGGTATGTTGACGTTCTTCTTACCATAAGTTTTGGCAAATGGATCAAGATTACTGCATTGATGGATGTACTGGCCCAAGTCCACCTTAAGGCTAATCCAACCTTTTCAGCATCGGACCCCATCAGTCGACTACGTTGCTGTCAACCAGGGAACGCCTACACTTATTACACCGAAGACTGCTTTCAGTGCCGAGGATGGCAAGGCTGATTACGAAGAGACAACCGAGAGCCTACTTCGACCAGGGGATGTTGCCGTTCAACGTGGTGCTATGCACGCGTACGTTTTCATTTTTCTTTTGACAAATAATGTGAACATTTTGACGACCAGAGCTAATTCATATTCGCTGCAATAGTTGGGCGAACAGAACTGACGAGTGGGTTCGCATGATCGGCATGGTCATCGACGCAAAGCCCTCCGAATCTGTGTTGGATGGAAAGCAGTTGGAGCTCGGCGAAAAATGGCTTCAGTGAGCACCTCAATTATAGCCGATGTTGTGCTTTGAGAGTAGAGAGTCTCGATGCATCATAAGAGGTGAGCTGAGATGGCAGATGTAATGTCGAGGCAGTAGAGAGGGGACAAGCTTTTGAGCATTTGCGAACAACAATACGCGTCTGAAGAAGGTATCGATTTCAACGTCATTGTTTAACTACTCAATGTATGCGTGTCTCTAGTCTTTGTTGTTCACCCCGGGCCGCGGGGTGTATACAAAGCAATCCCTGTTGTAGAAGAGTACACCCGTGCCATCCCCTTCGTCCACCCCGTCTTCTACAGGAACATCGAATAGCTTGCATTCTTTGGCTGTTGATTCCCATGAAAAGGACTGACATCGAGGTGGCCGACGGCCGTCGGTGCACAATTCCCAGCATTCGTATGTGTTGTCAAAGTCTACCCCGAGACCGTAGTACCCGTATGCGGGCTTGATGCTGCCCTCAACATTGCAGGTCGCGTTGGTTGGAGCCTGCGGTGGCCAAGAAGCGAGAGCGTTGACAGCAAGTGCCAAGGCTGCGAAGTAGCGGAGGGCTATCATATCGAGTATGTCCAAGTTGAGGAGCGTTCGATAGTGTAATGCTCGATCTGTCTCTCGTGCCGCCGAATGAAAATTAGCTGATCATGGGAACGGCGGTCGATAGCCTCAACTGGCGACGTGAATGCAACAACTTACTAGTTTTTATAGGCCAAGGAGGAGAAATTACCCCGCGTGCCACCTACGTAGTAAAGAAAGTACGTGTGTTTCTCTGTGGACTCGGCCAGCTTAATGCAGCTGACAAGAACACAATCATGGTCCAATTGATGTTAAGTACATACAGCCAAGCCTCAGCTCGTATTCGCTCTTGATGCTTGTCTTTTGGAAGCTGACTTGCGCTATAGTAGCTGGGAGAAATGGCGGCCTCAAGGCAAACTTGATTCGCGGCCATGGAGCAACGTGACATAAGAATGAACTGATCACATCCATCCATCTCCGGATGGTCGCCCAGGTTTGCATATTTGGTATAGAAAAAGAAATCACTCATTCTTTAAACCTCCAAAATTGTTAATTATCTCAGGAAGCAAAACCGACGTCAAAGTCCCAAGGAAAGTAACGCACTATACCCGAGCCTGGAACCGACCTTCGGACAGAATAGAAACAAGTTGAATTACCGTTATAAGTGCATCCAGATTGTTAGCTGGCAGTCAAGTGTTGTTGTCATGAAGGCTCACGTCTAGTCCTGCATCGAAGACGAAGCGAACGCCGAAAATAAGTTACAAGTAACTTGCGAAAACTAAAGGCATGTTTTAAAAGCCGATATATCATACCAGCGGCTAGGCTCACGAACTACTAGACTGTGAGTGAAATTTTGAGGTAACTCTATGGAGAGAAGTCATGAAGAGCCGCGGGGTTTTTGAACTGGCGTATGTCGGATTTCAAGGGCCTCGTACATCTTATCAATGCATTCAACCAGCAGTTAATATTCAGGTAGTTACCAGTAACACTTGGCATGTTGGCCACGAAGAATACTTGTAGACTTGGTCGCCCAAAAAAGAGTGGACCAGTCCGGAGGTTAGTGGGACTCACCAACGGCTTCCGACCCGCCACTTACCGCTGCCGGCGATGACTTCACCACCCGAGCTTCCACCTTGATCCAATTAAGTGACAACAAAGTGCTCACAGTCATGATGACTATGGGACTATAATTTTGACTGCATGTGCTTCATGGAAAGCGGAAAATGTTTCCCGCTGCACTGGCGTTGGAGCTGGTCACACGAGGAACTACTCAGTACGGACGTCGCCGCGTGTAAACAGGGATGAGCCTAGATGAAGCAGGTCGCGAGACTCTAGAGTATTGCCAAATAAGGCTCTTCCGCCGTCAACTGGTGCAACTATTCTATGGAAATGCCGTCACAAAACCGGCATCCATTGATTGCCGCAGGGCCTTTAATCGGCAATCGGAACGCATCGTCACTGCCAAGATCTACCGTACAACGGATGAACCACATTCTCTCTTATCCGCGGACATTCACCTTCCTCATTGGACAGCCTAGCGCCACATTGCATGATTTGGAAAAAGATTGTGACCTCCCCCTTTGGTTTCTGGCAGATCCCTGATTCAATCCTGATTCTCAAGTTGTCAATAACTTTGACTCCGTACCAAGGATCTGGGTGGTGGCTCTTACCGACGGGATGTTTTCTAGCGGAACTCCAGTGGAGTTTAAGCGGAGATACGCTGGAGTTTCAGTTCTAGATCTTCATCACTGAAAAGTACGCATCTTGTATTTTTATTGGTAGCATGCGCAGCTCCCGCGAAGCTTGCTGGTGCAAACTTGGCAAGCTGTGAGAAGTTTCGTGTAGACAGTTGCCATCAGAGCGAGGTGGCTCCCCGGCCAACGTCCGATGCCGCAGTCGGAAGGGAAACTGGCCATATCAATCTGCCAGATGGAGCCCGGATATCAGGCCCGTTCTTTCACCCACCTTCCTTAAACTCATGGCAGACCACCATGACGAATTTGAGTCTATCCACACACACACTCAACCTCCCCCCCCCCTGGATCACCTGGTCGCCACATCTGATAAGATTCTCCATACCCTAGACCAAGACCGGTTTTGGGGCCGGAATCTGAGGAGCATGATGCCTTTTTTACGATGGCAGGACTCAAAGTAGACTCCTCTCGTGCCCCCATCCTTAAAGTGCCTACGCGTTAAGTGGAAGGTAGTGCTGACAACAGGATTGTTCAAGTTGGCGGAACGGTAGAGGAAAGTACCTCGAAGTGATCGCGAACGTAAAGCTGTTTGCTTGTAGACCTACAAGTACATATAAATACAACGATCTCAGCCTTACCAGGACTTAAGCATACTTGTATCCGACGGAAACCAAAAAAATCTTATCCTATTGTGGAATGCATGTGCCTTGTGTAACTATGGAGCTTCAGCTTGATGCTCCTTCCTCGGTTTCGCTCTGTCACGGGAAATCACCATGGTCTATGTGGTCTCGACAATGACGACCAGGGTTTGAGAAACGTACATGTAAAGTACTTATAAATAATATACCATCATGCAGGTCTAAAGCCAATCTCGCGCCAACATCGATCTTCTCACTTTCTCAATTACAAGAAACGTAGCAGCGGCACTTCTCAGACTGTAGCTATGTTCGCCAACCTTCTTGCAGCGGCAGCTATTGCTGCCAGTCATGCTGTCCATGCTTCTGCCTCTGCAACTCCTAGTCTGCTCCTATTCTCAAAGACGGCCGGTTATCGCCATGCAAGGCACGTTTCTGATTCTCGGTCTCTTATGTTCCTCGTCTAAGCCAGTTATCTGAGCTTCTAGCATCCCTCATGGAATTCAGCTTGTGAGCTCTATTGCCAATGAGAAGGGCTGGTCAGTCGCGGCAACGGAAGACTCTACGATCTTCACAAATGGAAGTTTGTCCGCATACAGCACTCTGGTCTTCATTTCCACGACCGGCAACTATTTGTCAACCAACGAATCCGATGCCTTGAACGAGTTCCTACTCAACGGTGGTTCTTGGCTAGGCATTCACGCCGGTACGTCTTAGCTGATGCATCTAAACGTAGTGGTTAGCCCCCATATCTGACAGTTTGAACTGCAGCCGGTGATTTCGGGGATGATATGCCCAACTGGTTCAACAAGCTTGTTGTCGGACAGGTAAGATATACCGCCTGGACTCTGCCCTCTGGAAATTGACAGCTTTACTGACCACGCTATAAGTTCCGATCCCACCCGTGCGAGACTGACGATATCTGTGACGACGCGCAAAAGGAGAGATACCCTCCCAGTAAGCCAACACTCATCTCCATCGCCAATCCTGTACAGAACTTTCCTAACGCCTCCTCAATCTAGATGGCAACATTCGTCCGGACACCGATACAATTCTCGACTTTGACCATCCCTCAACCTCCGGTCTCCCGGAGAGCTACAACCGAACAGACGAGTGGTATGCGTACAAAACGAATTCTGCTGATGACTCTGCATACAAAGTTCTCGCAAAGGTGGAAGAGACTTACATCGACGAGATTACTCTGTCGCCGGAGCTTCAGCACATGCCTCCCATGCACTCAATCTCGTGGTACTCCATGTGCGAGGGCGTGGCTAGGGCGTTCTACACTGGTATGGGTCACACTAACGAGTCTTATTCTGAGGAGTACTTCGTCAAGCATGTTACCGGTGGGTTGGAGTGGGTCACCAGCACTTCAGATGAATGAGTGGGCACAAATTGAGGGGATCGACTGGTCTCCATCAGGGGATGATTCAGTCGTGGTTTTTACGGAAACTTCCCTGTAATCAGAAAAGGGTTCGTTATCGCATTCTCGGCAAGAGGATATCTGGCCGATGACACCTCGCTGTTGAGTAATTACAAGTTTACAACTTCCAACAGTCTGATGAAAACTCGATTCACATTCTGGAGACTAAAGTAGTCATGCACTTGTGAGAGTATCATCATACTTCGTGCCTACCGGACTGAGACATGGGCTTCGCGTTGCGTGGTAGGGTTACTGAGTCGACAAGATTAGGTCACATTCATTATGTAGATAAGACGTTTTCACAAGTGTAAAAAATGCGCAAGGTTACTTCTACCTAACAGAAGATGAACAGATACATGTAATTGGTAACGATGAGATCTTTGACATTTAGATGATGACAAGAACCAGAATTAGTTGAAAGAGATGCCATCTGACGGAAACTATATGTACCCACAACTACCTAAATGCAGTAGAGGGATCTCTCTTTTGTATATGGCGCAACGGTACAATTCCGAATTCTGTCACCATCCATGCTAGTCCGGCGCCAACGTAACTGAAAGTAACTTTCCGTTCACGGGTTGTCTACCTAGCCTGCGTCCATTTATCGGACGTTTAGACTCCATTGCAATCGTAATAGCCTAACCACAGGTTGCTGCAAGTCGAGTCGACCTGTGTATTGTACGAGAGGAACTGCTCAAACGTGATGCCTTCGCCGTTGTGAATTGACCAGCAGCTGTCGTCAGAGTTGACCTGGTAAAAGGTCTTGCAGTTGGAGACAATGCCGGACAATTGGGGCCATGGGCCAGTGGAAGAAGGAGTCGTTGGCTGGGTGTTACCCTGTGTCGTAGTGGCCGCACCAGGCACGTGGACGCAGACGCAGTAGTCGAGCCAAAGGTTTGTGCAGTCTGTTGATCAACGAGTTAGATTATTTGAGAATGAGGAATGAAAACAATCCTGCGCATCAGCGTTGACTTCGGTGTTCTAGCTCTTGAACTGTGCAGTGCTGATGCGGTACTTGGATGAGATGGCATCGCAGGAGCCACCAGAGGAAACCTTGTAGAAACCGTCAAAGTTGGCTGCGAGCCCGGTAATAGCTGGAGAGTTACTGAAGCGGAAGCAGTGGTTGTTGTAGAAGGGGAAGTGGTACTATTTAACGTCTTGGATGTAGTCGACGTAGTGAGGGCAGTGTTTTTGGCAGTCGTATTCTTAGACGGTGCCGATCACGCAGTACGACTTGCTGGTGTTCAGTGTAGGAAGAGTTATTCCAGGGTTCAACTTTTGAAGATCACATCATCGACGGACGGTCCCCAACTAATCGGAAAGGTTGCGCAAATATCGCTTTTGCTGGCGGCCGTGGAGAAGGCACAGTCGACGGCGTGGCGTGAGTGGGCTGCATTGGCAGAGACTAATCCAGAGAAGATTACGGCTGTGGCTCTAAGTTGAGTGATTTGCATCTTATTGAAATATTTAATGAGAACGGAGACTTGGAAAAGGGGGAAGAGGACTAAGGGGTTGCTGATGATGGCGATGAAGAAACACTTTGGGGCGGTATGAAGGCCTTGGTCTTATACTTGCCTCCAGGAGATATCATTCTCTCTTTTAAGAATACACTTGAATCTCGATAAGTAAGATCCTTCAAGGCAGAACTGCATAAAGTATCTACTTGACGACATTGACGGCATCGCACGTCCGGTTTCAGGAACAGGTAGTTCGACTTTGGAAAGGATAGTGCAGGAACTATCATCATCCTCCTCCATACACAGGCAAACGCCCATCCCCGGTGAATGAAATCGAAACTCGAAATCCGTTCGATAAAGTTTTGGGTGCGGCTTCGAGCATCCGGTGGCGTCAAGGGGAGAAAACGGTTCAGAGTTGCTGAGACTTGTCACTGAAGTCTCTCAGGTACGACCTTGCAGCCAAGCGCCGCGTGCGAGATCATCGCTTGATCCTGCTCCCGCTCATTGGCAAGGCTGCCGAGAAGGATTCAATACATGTATTATGTAGGCACTCGTAGCAGGGATGACTAGAGCAGCTGGCCTATCAACTCTGTTGGTTGCTGTCGCCATGTAGAGAGGACTGTTTGCGCCAAGCCGGCCAATCGGCACCAACGTGACCTCTTTTGCCTTAATTTAACTACTCTCTCCTGTCACATAGGCAAGCATTGAACAGACAAGCTGGTTTGAGCAGGATTGCAAGAAATTTCCCCAGACTGTGAGGGTGGCCAGGTACTCTTCTCGCCCATCCATCTGTATAAAATTTCAGGTTCTGACTTTTCCGCGCCTCTTTTCCCTATCGCAACAACATCTTTGCCTGCCTGTCTTGCCCCATCAAACCCGAGGCATCGAACATCGTCTGCTACTACCCATCAAGCTTTCATGCTTGATAAAGCGTCAGCATGTATGCAATATCCTGGACGGCCTGGTTGTGGTCTCTTCTGGCTTGTGTCTGGACCATCCTCGGAGCTGCCACCGTCGCCGCGAGCGACCATTCGGGCATCGTGGAAGTTGACCTCATCTTCCCCCGCAACGATACATACGCGCCCACGCCGGTTTTGCCCATCATCTTCGGTTTCCGAAACTCGCCGTTGGCGCCGGGTCTCGCTCCCAAAATCGGATTCTCGATATGGAACTACAATAATAAGAGCGATTCAGTTTAAGACCACGGAGTACGACGTGAGATTTGCCAACTTCTCCAGCAGCGACCCATACTATGAATACCGCGGATTCGTCATGTTTAATGTTGAGGGGACCTGGCAGATCAGATACACCGTGGAATGGTTCAGCTGCACGGAGGATTCATTCAAGTACCCATACAAAATCCCCAGCAATAACACGTCCAATGCCATCATCTTCACCACCAAGAACTCCGGGCAAAGTGTGGATCTTGTGGCCGCTACAAATGGGCAGAATTGTTCGTCCCATGGGGGGGTCGCTATCAACGTGACTGATACTCTTAACTCCACCGGAATTTCAAAGTGGCCAGGCGGCGGTACGTGTGCTGTGGCGGTATCATCAACGGTCACGCCGGACCCTTGCCAGATCAAGGTCAGCGAGGCCGAGGCGTCAAGCATCTCCGCCTCTGTAACTGCTCGGGCATGCGAGGCTCAGAATCCACCAATCGAGTGTCCTTCGGGAAACGATGGTGACGAAAATGATGCTGGTCATGGGTTGGTTGTTGGAGGATTGGTGTGTTTGGCTGCCGCATTGGGTGCGATCTTTCATATTTTGATATAAGGAAGGGTTGGATTGTATTTGCAACCTATACCAAAATGACTGAAAATGGAAGCTTTTGTGAGAATTGAAGCCTCATAGATGTTACGTACAAGGCATCCAAGATCAGGCTGAACAAAAATCTCCTGCGTCGTCCTCTCGTGCCTCCTGCATGTAGTTCGGAGGTGACCGTACCTGAAGGATCTAACTTAGATTACTACTGCGGCCAATAGCAGGAGGGTTTTAGCCAAGCCACTGCCGGCCTTTGCTCTCTGATCAAACAGATGCGCAAGTACGTTGATCACGGCACGGCGAGATAGACGGACCCTTCACCATGTTTGGTCAGTCTGGCAAAGAGCCGACGCCTAGATTGTCGAGATCACGAGCGACAAACGCCGTACCGGCCGCGTGGTGACGAGTTGCCTCGATGCCAGCAGTAACAGCGATGTGCTCGTCTACGATGACGGCGAGTACGTCGCCTACATGAGCGCCAGTACGAAGAAGACCCGCGCGGCGCTCTATGCTTAGTAATATGGCTTGGGGTATGGGCGGCACCACGGACTGGGCGACAGACTTACAGGAATACCACGACGTGCCCGCGCCCGCAAAGGAACTGGGCGCAATTCAAGCAGCTCGCCGCGAGCGGGTTGGCTCCCAAGTCGGATTTTACGCGTAATAGCAACTGGACCGAGTTCGACTGCACGCACATATACGCGACGGACCAGCTTCACCGTGACGTCGATGAGCTCTGGCTGGGTCTCGGCGCCGACGCGGCGTGGGAGGACGTTGTGAGAATTTGGGAGGATATAGATAGTGGCTATAGCAACACCTCGCTCCTCAGCTCGGTGCACGCCACGCTCAAGATCGAGACCGGGGCGTTGGACTGCGGCAGCCTCCTGGGCGTCGAATGTAATACTGACGGTTGCTCCAAGGGCATGGACGGCGATTCCTCGGGACCAGCGGCGCAGCTGATCTGGATTTCGCTCGTCATCACCCGGAATATCCGCGACAAGCATCATTATGCTCTGTACAAGGCCGCTCCAGGCGTCGCCGCGCTCAATGACATGGAGAACACGTTTGCGCCGATCCCGCCTGAGGAGAACGATACCTGGCTGCTCCTCATCGATCTCATCACTCTCGGAACTCTATCCGCCGCTGGTCCCTTCTTCAACACGTTCCTGACGTCTCTGCCCAAAAGCACTGATCGGCCGAAGCTCGCTCAACCATTGCCAAAGACCTGCTGCCCAACCAGGGCGAACCAGACTGGAAGTTCGAGGACCAGGACAAGCTCTCCAACTACATGGGCCAATTCATCGATGACTGGGCCAATGCCACCTCCCTTACCCTCAAAAGCGTCTTTGACGGCACCCCCGACTCGGTCAGCCTACTAGGCAAGGCCATCGCCGACGGCAAGCTGTACCCCAAGGACGTCAGCCCGGACCCGGGATCTAACGAGCTGCTACAAAACGTTCGAAAGTCCATCTTCGGCTGCGCCATCCCCGCAATTTGGCACGCCTCGAGCGCGTGGGCGTTCGTCATCAACTCGGGCTACGGCTGCGACGCGTCCAACCCGCTCGACGACTACCTCTCTGATGACACAGTGAAGACCACGGGCGCGTGCTAAAACAGGAAGCTGTATTAAATCGCCAGCCCGGACGGCGACGCTTATGAATGCTTCGATGGCGGATGCCTGGACAATAAGTTCTCGGCGCCCAAGGGCGTGGGCAAGCCAGGCGACAGCTTTGACGGTGTCACGAAAGAGGACCTGATTGCTGGCGCTGTGCGTACGTATTTGGCCAAAATCGACGACAAGGGCGTGCAGGACGACCTCCTGGACGTGGACGTCACGACGCCAGGCTTCATTCGCATCTTCGTCTGCGGCGCTGAGCGCGCGTTCCAGATATGGGAAGGGACGACAAAGGACGTGGCAAGAGGCTTCGCCGAGAACTATCCATGCGACGAGCCGCCGGGCAGAGACAACTGCGGCGTGTCGTCAATTGAGGACCAAACGAGCGACGCGTCGCCGGGCGCGAGCGATTGTCGGCAGATTATCAAGAACATTGAGGCCGACGGAAGCACCGACTGGACGATTCAGGTCTTGGGGAGGAACCGGCGCGAGATTGCCAAGTTTGGCGGGTGTTCCTTTGGTGTTGGGGCGACCAAGGTTGATGGAAACGTCGACTTCACTGTCGGTGGGCAGGATGTGATCGATATCATCAACAATGCGATTGAAAACTTTGAGAATAATGATGGACAGGTGGGAGCCAAGGGAGACATGGATTGTAACGGGAACGTTCATCAACAGGCGGTGAAATGCGGCATTTACTTAGCTTGCCAGGACTTGGATGATGGATATAGGGTCTGAGTGCTGGCTGTAGTAACACATCACCTTGGCAACTGTTGTTCTTTGTAATCTACATTCTTCTGTAAGTATGTATTCAGCATTATCTGGGTCTTTGACTAGGTACCTATCAGATCATACATGCTACCTTCGTTTTCTGCGTAGAAATGACTCAATGCGGTTGACCGCGTCTTAGACTCTCGGTGAACGATTCTCAATGGGGTTTCTATCTCGGGCGGAGAATGGCTTGGCTGAATTATCACACAGTTGTGCCAGTGCGAACACATTGGACAACGCTGCAGATGAGCGCAACATGACGCGTGCATACATGTACAACCTTCATACTGAGCACTAGACCGTGAGTCTAGTCAAAGGCATCATCTCTCATGATTCTACGCTCTTCCATCTTCTAGTATAGGTAATCAAGAGTTATCGCGACTGAGTGAATGATGTCTAACCTGTTGTTCCTGGTTGGGTGAGACACGGGGATCCTTGCTGCTGCTGCTGCTGCTGCAGAGCGTTGTGCCACGCCGTTGGGCCTTGCGCTCAGGCACCGATACACATCGATCGAGCGACTTTGATCATATGCTCGAGGTGAGCCACCAGTGGTTACACTGTCTCGTGAGCTTTCTTAGGCTCTAGTGATGTGATGATTGAGTTGGTGATTCACTTCAAGAGCTGTTTTGAAAGTCTGGCTGTCTGATTTTCAAGAAATCGTTTGATGAGCTTGTTCCCCTCGATCGGGAGATTCCTGTGCAGGGCCCCTAAGCCATTCCTATTAATAGGCGCATCAACCCCTCATTCAGCTGATAGTAAGGCGGCTGCACCCGCACCCCCCAACAGTGCTAGCACAGGGCAACATGGACGGTCCTGGGCCAAGTTAGGCTTCATGACACCCTCTTTTTCACGTAGCTGTTGAAGATAACGAGGAGCTGAATTTGAGTCTCATTTCGAGTATGATATTGTCCCTCCGAACAACGTCAGAGGGGAAAGGGTGAGAGATAACAAACGAAGATGACTGATTGATCAGCAACCCCGGCATGCCGGTGAAATGATCCGTGCCGAAATGGCGGTGACAACAACGGGCCCTGTACCTCATGTACTCCTAGGGAGGGGGGACTCTGGGACAACTCACGTCTGGTTGGAATGGCGGCGGGGTGGAGACGAGAACCCTCACCGCGGCCATTAACATCGCGGCCGACGCATGGCGGTGGAGGTTGGGCATCATACACCGCGCATGATCCATAGTAGCGACGTGGCGGAAAAAGTAGAGAGAGGCAGCAGCCAGCCAGGAATCTCTTCATTCTGTTTGGTCTATTGCTCTCTCTGCTGCGACTCGCAAGCGTGGCCGCAGGTTTTCGACGAGACCGCCCTTCACGACCCTCGCCTCGCCTCGCCTCCCTCTCTCACTCACCTCTCACCTCTACTCCGTACTCAGAAAGCAGAGTCTGTCTCTACCCGAGTTGGTCCCTCCCCCTTGTTGCCTTTCGCCCTGCCTCATCTCAATCGTTCCGAGATCCCAAGCCCAAAGGAGTCCAGTCAGCCCCAGGTTTCTGCTGCTCGATTGTGGTTCTCGTGGTTGGGTTAAACCACTACCTAGGTACTGCGATCCCACCGCTCATCCCACACCCCCAGTCTCAGTCTCCGTCATGTTGCGATGATTTGACCCATTATCCGTACCCTTTCTCTTACCTACCTTACCTTACCTCGACCTTTTTTTTTCCTCTCTTGAGTCCCCGCCAGAGCTATCCATACACCATACATACAATTGAACCTTTAAACAACCCCCTTTAGAAACTCTCTTCCCTTCCTTTTCCTCTTCCCTCTTTTTCCTGTTCCTGGGATGTGTGGCAAGAGATGGTGATCGGGAACCGAGATTTTTCGACTTTCAGGAGTAAGAGTACCAAGAGCACTAAGAGTGACTCGGGGAACGGGGACGATGCGTCCATAGGCACGCACGAGAGCTCGTACGAGCACCCTCTGGGTAAGTACAACACATGGATCAATTGTCCTTGAAACCCTCTTCAAAAGGGTTCTGTCTTGTTTGCTAACATTGAGTCAATCTTCAGCTCGCAAAGGCTACGATATTGGCCCCGCGTCGAGATGCGAGGTGGGCGACGTCTTTGAGTTCCTCTGGGCAGACTCGCACGAGTTCGAGTGGGAGTGGAAGTGCCTTGGCTACACGCGCTTCATCGTCCTTCGACATAGCGACACGTTTCCGCATTACTGCGTGTGTGTGTAAGTTTTGATCATCTATAGTCTCCAACTGCTGGTATCCCTCTGTTGATGTGGTCGAGCTTGTTGTTGCTTTTTACCCCTCCTCATCAACACCCCTCATCCCACCACCCCCCCGTCAGCAAACCGACTCAACCCATTAGCAAGCCCAAAACTTCATCTCGCTAACCTCTGATCGTCGATACCACCAGTCCGATCTCCACCCCCACGAAAAATGACTTCCAGAAACCCGGAATCGACTCGAGCCAGCAGGGCTATGTCTTTGATGAAAACGACCGCACCCCGCCCTTCGACCGCCTCCCTTTCTCCCCTGTCGGTATGCAGCTGCGCCCGGGCAAGTTCCGCGTGAAGGAAAACTCTCGCGCAAACTACGCCGACGTTCTCGAGATCGACCACGATGCACAAGTCATGGTCGTCGGCGACGTCACGCGCTACTTCGACCGGGTGCGGAGGAACGTCAACAAGGCCGTCATGCGCAACGTATTGAAAAAGGCGTTGGAGCAGTACCGCCTGGGCAAACTCGTCGGCAAGAAGGGCGCCAAGCTCGAGGCGAGCGTCGTCAACGGCGGTGGAAGCCAGGATGACGAGGAGGAGTTCAATTTCGACGAGGAGCCCGAGGACGGAAGCGATCCGGACCATCCCGATGTGTTTCTGCGACCAGATGAGACATCGTCCGTCATCGAGAAGCGGAAACCCGATCGCAGTGAACGCAGTGACCGCAGCGACCGGGAACGCGAACGGGAACGCGAACGGGACCGGGACCGAGACCGGGAACCCCTCGTCAGCGCAGAAATGCCGCCCCCTCCGCCCCCGGCCCCGCCGCTACCGCCGATGGACTTCCCGTCCCCGATGCCGATGCAGCAGCCGTCGCCCCCGCGAGAGCGAGAGCGCGATGACGCGTCCTCAATCCGGTCCCACGCGTCTCGAGAGAGAAGGCATTCCCGGAAAGAAGCGCCCCCGCCGAGAGGCGAGGACCTCCCGCGGAAAATGTCGGATCACCACGTCGACGGCGCCGCTCGGCCGTACAGACAACGCATCGATCTCCCGCGATCCCGGAGCCATCGGGCCTCTGAACACGAGGTCTCGGGTTCAATGTACGACGTCGCTACGGCAAGGGCGGACTGAAAAAATGAGTTGTGACATTGGGATTTGATGGGTGATGAGATGACGCGCATTTCTAGGATGATGATTTGGTTACCATCGATCGACCGGCTCTTGAAACGGGTGCTATGAGTGGCACGACGGCGGCTCTGAATGTTTTTTTTTTCTCTCTTTTTTATGACACGTATCATGATTGCATGCATCAATTGCCTCTTTTCTTTCCTGCTGCGACTACAACATCAACATCAACAAATAACGAGAATCCGCCAGCATTCACGGAGTACAATTAGACTTGTTTCAAATTTCCAATTTTGCTTTTTTTTTTTCTTCCACATTCATCATGATCTACAGAAGATACATTACCAAAAGAAACCTGTACAAATGATAATCAGACTGCGAGTTTTGTCTCCTCTCCCCGCTCTACGATCAATCTCACGATGTTTCTAGCCGGCTAACCGATTTCGCTGTGACGATTGAAGTGTGATTTCTAGAATGCACCTAGAAGGAGATGGAAGGATGTAAGATTGGCTTGGGTAGCAATTTGGGCAGCAATTCAATAGTAATTTCCTGTCTGGGGGCCCCGGGGGCGCTAACTGCGGCTGTCTGCATCGTCATGCAGGATGATTCACGATCCTCTCTCACCAACTAGCCGGACCAAAGGTCTCATTCTCTCCCACCGTCTTCAGAATGGCGCCATACGTGGAGTCCTATATGCAAGTCACGATTAGTTAAAATGAGCTCGACGTCAGATAGCGTTGCCAGCGGATGTATTTCACCCATGGGCAACCGCGTTTCGCGGGGAGAAGGGGGAGGGTCCCAGTCCCGACTGCATGTGCACTCACCAAGGTGTTATATACGTCGACGTTTCCCCACCATTGCGGGATCGTGACGTTGGGCAACGTAATGGCAAAGAAGATGACAATGGTGCTGATGATGAGACCGGCGTCCAGCGCGGCGGCGGTGATGTAGTTGTACGTCTGCCACCACCCGTGGAACCTCTTGCGCACGCCGTGGTTGAAAATGAGCCCGACAATGGCCCAGCTGGAGAAGCTGAGGGGCGTCGCCGGCGGGAGCCACCCCATGGCGCCGAGCATGACGGGCGCGTGGAGGACCTTTGCGAACTTGAGGTTCAGGACCTTGGCTAGCACGTAGAAGACGATAGGCAGGCAGGCGCCGATGAGCCAGAAGTAGTTGAAGTTGTGGTAGATGGAGCCGGCGCCGAACATGCGGCGGGGGCCGATGACTCCCCATACGATGGAGGAGGAGAAGAAGGCTCGGCCGTTGGGGCAAGTGAAGTGTGCGTGTTGCGTCCTATGATCGCAATGTCAGATATCAATCCTGAAGTGAGTATTCACGAGAGTTTCCTTGAATAGACTTACAGCGCACAGCAGTTCTCGATGTTGCCAAGCGTCCAATTCATCACGGCAATCTGCACAAACACAGCCCAAATGGTGGCCACAACTTGGCACCAAAACGTAACTCTCGGCGGAATCTTCATGTAATGCGCCATCTTGAGATCGCCAGAGTACGTCTGCGCCTGGCCCAGCGTGATCGTGCTGTACACCTTGAAGATCATGACACCAATCGGCTTCCCGGGGATCATGAAGCCCGCCAAGAACGGAGACAGCACGTTGAGGGAGAGCCCAAGGTTCGATATGGCAAGAATCGTGCACGTGGGAATCACGAACATCATGGCCAGAAGGTTGGCGACGAAGAAGGCCCACCACGGCAGCTGGGAATCGTAGCCCTCCGCCGTCGCGAGACCGAGGCCGATGGCGAAGAGCAGGATGACGGCGTACCACCACTCCGGCGCGTCCACGTACTTTGTCGCGAGCTTGAGGTGGATGTCGGCTTCCTGGTTGCGCGCGGCCTTGAGGCGGTACCAGATCTCCTTGCCGTGGAAGAACCCGCAGTGGACGATGGCGGCGGTGAGAGCGGCGAAGGAGAGACCATAGTTGAGGGCAAAAGTGGGCGGGAGGAAGAGGGGCGAGTACTGCTTGTACTTTTCTTCCGAGAAGGTGTACCCCGGCCCGAGGATCTTGCTGACGTTGTAGGAGCTCTGAGTGTTGTCGTAAGTCTGCGAGGTGTTGATGGGGAGGTAGTCTGCGAAGAGGGCGCCTGAGTAGGCAGTTCCGATGGTGGGGATGATGACGAAAGTGAAGAGGCCGATCAAGACGTTGATGTGCGTGTGCGTAGGCGAGAGAAGGGGGTCGCCGAGGTAGGCGGACACATAGGTCCAGTCGAACGTGATGGGGATCAGAGAGAGGCCGGTGAAGCCTCCAAACAGCTGGTTGACGACGATGTTGTTCGGCTTGATCCAGGTGACAAAGGCAAACACCGACAAGCCTTGCCAGAGAACACCCGGGATCCAGTAGTAGCAGAACATACCCGCGAGGACATAGAAGAAGTAACGGTACCGGCTGATAACCCAGCCGTTGCTGTGCGTGCCGTCGCTCTTGCTCTTGTCGTGGAGGGCGTAGAATAGGGACGTGTTGGCGAACTGGTTGGGCCAGATCATGGCGGCCGGCCAGACGAGGAACCGGCGGCAGAGTCCCGCGAGGCCGATGCCGATGAGCTGGGAGCTCAGCGTGAAGAGTAGCTGGAAGCCCCATCCCAAGTTGATGTCGTAAAAAGGCTTGCCTTGCAACGCGAGGAGAGCGTCGGTGCTGTACGCGTAGCCGATGGAGACGTTGGACATGAGGGTGATGACAACGTGCTCTTTGATTGTGAAGGGGCCGGTATTGAAGGTCCATTGAACGCCGAAGGTGTTGAAGACCTTCATCGGCATGACCTTGGCCCAGAAACATCCGATTGGATAGACAAGCAATTGGACAATGATGGACGGGAAGTTGATGGCGGGACTCCTGTGAACAGTGAGAGAGGTCGTCAGTTATCGGTGTTCCTAACAACCCAGGTCTTGTTCATCTTGCTTTCACGTACCTCATACTCAAAAACATATTGAGACCACTCCCAATTGTCACGAAAATCATACCTAGAATCCACGCTCGAACCGTATTTGCGACTTCACCGCCATCCGTGTTGCGTACAGCAGCACGTACTTCTTCATACGGCGAGTCCTCCGTCAAGATAGCATCGGCAGCCATGATTTCCTCAGAGTCGCCATCCTGGAGCGCCTTCTTCACCATGTCGGCCTTCTCCTGGGGCAGATTGGGGTCCCATTGATGATCGCGCTGGAAGTCTTCGAGGTCTGTCGCCGCCTGCGTAACGTCCACGCTATGGTTCTTTTCGTCCGCCATGGCGGCTACTGGGTGTGCGACCGGGGTGTTGATGTTGGTGGCTACTGCAAGGCTCTACGCGACGGAGATTCACTGGCTAGATCGTCATACCTAGCCCAATGGCTGATCAATCTGAGGTTTCACAGGCGAGGTGGTGATGGCAGCTTGCGAGAGACCAACAGTAGCATATATGTTTCACGATACAGGTACGTACGCCTCCTTCATATAACTTGAGCCTAGGCGATCAATTGAACTCAATCATGATCCCAAGAGGGAAGTTGCCTACGTTGCCCGAAGGACGTGATAACGGTCACCAGGACCATCCCACCGTAACGTACCACGAGGTATCGTTATCATGGATAATTAATATTTTCTCCACCTCCCCGCTTATCGTCTTGAGAAGTCTTGTCCCGACGCGGCAATGCTTGGTCCAATTGGCGTTAAACCCAAAACAAAAAGTTCCCAACCGTCGGGGGAGGGATCCCCTTGACGACCGTCGGCACGTTGCAACCGCGTGACAGCCGAACGACTAATGGCAAATCTACCCCGCCGTTAGATAAGGTAGCAATTCCTCTCCCAACACGAAGAAGTAAGATACGGATAATGTTTGCCCATGGAAGATACGGATATCGTGATAAGACGGAAGGGGTCCCGCGGGGGGTCTTCCGACGAACAAGGATCTCGGACTTCGAACCCGGGTAACCCGGGTCTGACCGGGAATATCAGCATTTCAAGCTTTTGTCTGAAGATTCTCAATTGATTGCAGCGAAGTCATCTAGGTTCAGCGTACAAGTGTCAACTAACCTGATTTACGCGTTGATTTCCTTGGGCCATTACCACTATCCCGGGTTCTGGGTCTATCGCACCCCAGATCATCCTCGTGTTCAGCTGTTCCGCGTGTTTGGTACCTCCATGTAAATCATGCGGCCCTTGTCTCGAGGTAACCCTCAGCGACTCATTGCTGGCGACGCTGGGTACCCTCTGGATAAGTGCGCAGCGAATACCGGATCAATCCACATTGAACAGCCTACATTGACCTCCTAGCCTGAGATGCGATATTCGCGACAGTCAAATCAAGAAGTAAGCCTCTTAGTCGCCCTCTATGCTTGGGTTGTGAAGAAAGAAACGCAAACGTCGAGACTCTTCCTAGAATCTCTTGACTAATGCATGCAGAGTATATGTAGAACCGCCCTACTTCTTACTTCCCACCTCTCGGTATCTCTGAACGTCCAAGACCTTTCTCAACGCTGCATCTCGCTGCTGGAATTGTTCCGGATCGGGCAGGCCGTACGCATCCACCGTTTGTTGCACAACCTTCGCATCCCACGCCGGCTTATCGTTCTTGCCCATGCTCTCTGTCTCGTTTGCTTCCTTTGTCTGGAAGTTCACCAATTCTGAACTATCCCAGACCTCTTGAATAGTCCCAGAAAGATTGTTTAAGAAAGCCTGAATCCCAGCTACCCCACCGCCCATGTTATACGACTTGAAGATGCCTTGGACGGCCCATCTAGGCCCTAAGCTCGCTTCCATTATGGTGTCTACGTCTTCAGTGCTGACGACGCCCTGGTCAACCAGAGAACAAGCTTCTCTGAGCAGCGAAAACGCCAACCGGTTCCCTACGAAACCAGGAACCTCTTTTTTGATAACCACAGGTCGGTGACCAGACCCCAGCTCCGCAAAGAATATTTTGGTAAACTCGACCTCGTTCTGATTTGTCGTTGGTGACGGAACAATCTCGATCAAAGGCATGATGTGCGGCGGGTTGAAAGGGTGAACCACCAGAAGACGAGTCTTATCCACCATGTCCCGGCTCTGAACTGACGCAGCGATGCCGGACGTCGAGCTCCAAAAGTGTGCACTGGCAGGCGCGAAGCTTTCAATCTTTGGCCAGATGGATTGCTTGAAGTCTGGATTCTCGGGGCCCTGCTCTTGGACGATGGTGGCGCCACTGCATGCCTCTTCGAGCGTGGTGCAGATCACGAGGCGACCAGATTCGCGCAGGCGGGATATACCCAGCGACGCATCTTCGGAGTCGATGTAACCTGGCAGGACCGTTGAAAGGTGTTGTTCGAGGTCAGGCCTCGTGTCAAAGACTCTGACGGTGCTCTTTGTGTGTCTTAGGTAGAGAGCTGCGAAGGAGATGCCAATGGCCCCGAGTCCGATGAGGGCAACGCGTTCGTTCACGTCAGATGGCATCGCCGCGATGCGAGAATGTCAGAGAGTTCAATTGAGTGCCGCTTATGTAATAATTTGACTTGCCAATTGATGAAGCCCAAGGATTGCCGTGATAGAAAGCCGTCATAAGAGAGGCTGGTCAAGTTGGGGGAGATTTGCCCCGCATGACGGAAGTGTCACTCCGGGGTGTTTCGGAATTCCGAGTTCTGGTCCGTGAATATTCATGCGCGTTATCCTCATTCTCAAGATAGCGCAATGCAGCTACCGGGGTCTACGGCAACTTGTTGGAGGAGCACGATCTTACACTCGTAACCTACCAGGGACTGATTGTTAGAGTGAATCATGGCCTCCCTAGGTGGCGTTATAGAGAAAGCAGATGATATGCGGACTTGGAAAGGCTACTCAAGCGCTGGCAATTTGCGAGATAATGAAAGTTTAATCCTCTTAATAACAGATTAATATCAGAAGGATTCCCTTAACTTAGAATAGAGTCGCTTACAGCATCGACGGAATTCCGAGAAACTCCGTCTTATGACGACCCCAACGTCGATGGTGGAGCTATACATATTAAAGTAGATGTCAAGTCTTTGGAAAAGTGATCTAGATCTTTGCCGCTTTCATCATTTATCCAGATAGACTCACCATACTCAAAGATTCATTTACCTGCAATAAGGCGCAGTCAATACCATTGCCCGCACAACATCACCATCCAAAATGGTTCAACATCTCAAATCCAGAGCTGCCAAAAATGGCAGCAACTCTGCATTCCCGCTCGATGTCCCAGGGATCGTGAGGGGCGTTATCGACTACATCCGGACAACAAATGGTCGCCGGCGTCTTTCAAGCTCTCCCAGTCAGACATTGACTCTATTGTTGCCAAGGTTCCTGCTCAAGTCATAACCGACATCAAGACGGTGCAGGACAATGTCCGGACATTTGCTCTAGCTCAACGAGACTCTCTTAGAGAATTCCAGCTCGAGATTCGCCCAGGGGTTTTCCTTGGACAGAAGAATATCCCTATCGATCGAGTTGGAGCGTAGGTCTTTAAATGTGGGTTTTTTCTCCCACATACGCCAGGTACCTGATAGTCCAATAGCTACATCCCCGGAGGACGATATCCGTTGCTCGCGTCTGCGCATATGACAATCCTCACGGCCAAAGCAGCCGGGGTCCCCAAAGTTATCGCCTGCACGCCTCCGATCAACGGGCAGATACCTCCCTCGACCGTGGCAGCTGCATATCATGCAAGAGCTGACGAGATTTGGATTCTCGGCGGCGTCCAGGCCGTTGCAGCGATGGCCATTGGCACAGAAACCATGGACAAGGTTGACTTCATTGCTCACGTCCATCCGAAAAGGTCTCTGATTGCCTTTCAGCGAGCTTTCGGCAATTTTCGACAGACCTTTCCAATCCAACCCCCATCCAACTGACAAGGTGGTACCGCGTGCATTGTATGGACTGGCAGAACTCTGAAACTTTCGACACGTCGTTGAAGACTTCATTCTGATCGATACTGTCGCAAAAACGACGGCGTTAATTACGGGCAGCAATTAACGCCATATAAACCCTACGACAGATACCCAGATGACGATGATACTTTGTTGCGACCTTGAGAAGGAAATTGCACGCATATGCTATCATCGTGTGATTATAGTGCGGCAATCCCGCGAACCCAGCTTTGAGATCTGGATCGTTGCTGACAAGGTAGATTGTTGATCTAGCAGACTCGACCGTTGCATGAGCTAAGGCGTGAAACTCTGTCGGCATTGGATCATGGACCGGGTTGGACGAAAGTCCTCGGAAGACATGGGAACCAATGAACAATTTCGCGAAGTAGTAGTGTAGACGAAGATTCTTCCGAGGGAAGTCTCCTACATGACTCTTGATGTCGCGTTGGGCTGTGAAGCACATGACGCAGTTAACAACCGCCGCTCACAAATATCATAGTCACTCTAAACTTACTTGTGTATCGAGCAGTCCACATGGTGCGCCATTCATCCGCCTGTGAACCGAAATTCTCAAGATCTTTTTGGAAAAGTACCGATGTGCGACTTTCAACGTCCGAGCCGAACATATAGGTGACTTTCTCTAATATCGAAAGCAGTTCCAGCTGACTGCAAAGACGAAAGTCGGTGCTCGAGCTGGGAACGGTGCTAAAGTACTTTCTCCACTGTGCTACCGATGATTGACTGCCAAAACTTGAAGGTCTGCCATAGAGAATTGAGAGGTGATGATCGCAAACGTAGAATAGATACCACACCCTCAAGCAGCTGAGTGCATCTTCACGGGTCTTGATACCAATAGTCTTGGAGAACCTATCATCGAGCTTCCCAGTTCCTGTGACGATATAAAACGACTTGTCGAGCTGAAATTCGATGGCTCGACGGATGGCGAGACCAGACACTGACCATGAGAGATCACTCAACCAGAAGGAAGCAATGCACAAGCCCTGAAAATCGTACAGATTTACCCGCTTCTTGAACATGAAGTCAGAAACGAGCTTGCGAAGTCGAGCACTGCAGGCGCGGTATAACTGCTCACTCCCGGGTTCATGAAGAGCCGAGACTGTGCAGATTGCTACAATAAAAGGGGAGATGCGCGGCGCACGCTGTCTAGATCTTCAAATCGGCTTGTGATCCCATAGAGGTAGTAGTCAGTTTGATCTAGGAATCTCTTGACTAGACGGTCAGCATCACTCCGCTGAAGGCTGCCCTCGGTGACTAGGTCCTGAGGCTCTCGTGCAGGTGGTTGAGTTGCCGTCGGAACCGAAGGAGGAGATCCATTCGCGTTGAGTGACCTTAATCTCGTGATTCCGTGCAAGGAGCTGATAGGCGCTTGGCTCAATGGCTCGACGAGGTCTTCGCTCTGTGCACGTAATAGGTCGGATTCCTCTTCCATCTCTTGATCCTCATCTTCGATGAATGTGCCAGCCTCATCCGGATGCAGGCCTTCAACGTTTAGACTTCCGGTCAAGGAGCTTTTGAGGGGAGCGAGCGGCGGCTGAGATCCCTGTTGCAGGATGCTATTGATCGCTGTGTGAAGCATGCGAAGATCATCCACCATATCCGACCTTTACGATGGATTAGCGGCGAAACTTATCCCACATGGGGTCGTGGCAAATCGAACCGGTGTGGCCCTGCATCACTCGGCCTCGATTCGATCTCCCGAGCTGGACGCTTGAACACGCATTCAATGTTCTTCTTCCTACAATGCTGGCATGGCCCATCTCGACCGCTCGGTAAGCATCGCACCTTCAAAGGGAGGTTAGCGACATACTAGTTGGAATGTCTCGCATGCCAAGTGATCGGGGAAGCTGCACGTGCCTTTTGCTTCTGACAAGAGCAGCAAGCCTTCATTCGGGAGCTGTACGCGGCCCGGTGTAGTCTCTCCGGCTTCTTGCCGTGATTTACCATCATGAGTGGAATGTCTCAATGTCTCAATGTCTCAAAAAAGATGAATCGTGGATGGAGACACGAGGCGCACGGCTTGCGGAGCTGAACGCGACGTTGAGACCCCGATATGTGGTTAAGCAAAATACCCCTACATTTTCTCGAACGACCCAGTAATGTGTCTTAGTGACCTCCTCCCTTGTGCTCAGCTCTCCCTGATGTCAATGCCACTCTGCCGCTTTTTCAATATATTCACCGGATCATTGTCGCTGTATTCCTCGCATCTTGACGAGCTTGTAATGGATAGTGTCTTGTGTCTTTCTCGACCATGTTAGCATGAATGTGTCGAAAGAGACACATAGGGCGCGCTGCACGAGACTGAGCAAGAAACAGATCCAGCCAAATTCGTCTGTTTACCTTGAGGCAACGGCATATGCCGGCTTTTTTGACAAGGGGCGAATCAATTCACCTTATTTAGGCTCCGGGACCCGTTATCTTTCAATGGTCTGAAGAAACATGAGTTCAGAATGCGAAACCGAGCACCCGAGTCCGGACTTGTCGACGTACGCTCGCATGATGATGCATTCGCGACACTGACAGCTCGCATCGTGGCTTTTGTGGGTGTTATCAATGAATCACAAATTCTTGATCGAAGAGGTCTGTCCCTCGAAGTCTCCCTTCTTCACTGCCAGACACGCCAACCACACTCACATTTCGATACTAAGACAATAGTCTCAGTGGTAGCTTAGTTAGAAGCTTGTAGCTCTGCTTACCGGAACGTACGAGCGGGCCGATGCTTGAACGAGTCTCGGCGATTATGATCTGGGGAAAGGGGGGCTTGCGCTCTCGCATCAGCATCGCTTCTACAAGGTGAAGTAACGCAGGCGGCAGGCGACAGGCGGCAGTCGCTCCTTCTTTCTTTCAATCGTAATATCACCGATGTATAACAGAAATGTGCACCTCATTAAGAGACTCCAATGGCAGGCACTAAGGCAAATGGGATGGGCCGATAAACATAAAGCCTCTGGCCCGATGTCATCTCGACATAAATCCTTCGGCTTTTCAGCGAACTACCATACACCAAACCCTCCTCGCCCGCAGCTCTCAATCACTAATCGAATAATCTACCTACCTAGACATGGATCCATATCACGTCAACTCTTTCGCCGATACATGATGTCGTCAGCCTTGTGTAACGGCAAAACATGCCATTTTGTGACGACTGGCACGCAGGCTCATTTCGATCCATGCCAACCGTTTGACCGATTGACTGTCCACGCCGCCCCTCGCCAAAACTTCCTAGCCGAATTTCTAGCCGAAGAATACCAGAACATCCATTCGGATCCCTCTTTTCCTGGCCGAGACTCTACTTGTTCGGGCGAATAACACCTGGCGGGACCTGACCTCGGCCCGCTGATCGCGCCAGCTTCGTGCGAGACACAGCCATTCCCCATCTCTCAACCTCCAGTAAGCTTCGACATCTAAATGACCTCCATGGCGCGAAAGAAGAATGCCGTGTAACCGACTGAAAGGGGTTGTTTCAAAATAGTTGAAGTCCCTTTACTTGTGCTCACTTATCAGCAAATCGCAAATCGGATCATTTCCAATCCAAGTTGACTAACCAGGCAGCAACACGTTTTGCTCTGTAGACTCGGGCCTATGGGTGTCATGAACCGTAAATTGTAACTTGCTAAGCACTGCAGTCAGGTTCTTGATAGGATTATACCACAATTAATATCGGGATTCCCTTGACTTCGCCGTCGACAGAGTAAGCAGACTGAAGACTCGGTGTAAACAAGAAGCGGGTTCATGTATACGTTTTGGAAATGTATGCTCATATCAATGGAAAAGTAAGGGAGTCATTTGTGGTCTTATTTGGGGTTGCACAAGGCGAAGTATCATTTCCTCCAAATGCAGTCTTCAGAGTCCGACTCCCTTGCCCTGCTGATCTTTGGCTAGTGTAACCACAAGCATAGTTGGTGTAACCAGAACTACTCATTAGTAGCGTCAGTGGCCTTATTTTGGTATCACAAGAACCAAAGGCGGGATCTAAGAGCGAGCCAGCCAGTATTCGAGCTTGCTGCTTGCCTCCCATGAGGCTTCCAATTCCTTTCTATCTGGGGTAAGTCGTGTAAGCCGAGAGACCATAAGCCGGGGGCGAAGACGTGCCTAGAGATGAAAGGCTGCTCAGCCCTAGTTCATGTGGACTGGTTCAAGTTGTCGTGCTCGATCCAGAACACCAAAGCCTTAATGTGACTGCACAACATAGGCGCAAACATTCCTACCTTAGACGCATGCCATATTGCTGGGCAGCTGAAAGGGCGCACTGGGCGATAGACATTTCGACCCTCAATATGGCCGCTCATAGGCTCCCAAGGGATTCCTTACCGAAGATTCCACTCCACGAGACATTATGGCATGCTTGAGGGGCGCACGAAAAAGGGGCAAACTTTTCGACCTTTGACGTCGCCAAGTTTTCTCAATAAAATGTCCCTTCGTTTTCTTCTCTAGCAAAGCTTTTGGTGCCTCACCTCCTTGACATTGTCCAACATCACCACTAGGTACGGCAATCAGCAGCATCGCCTGCTTGGAGGGCACCGCCGCCGTCACTATGTCCGAAGACCTGGAGTCCAGCTTGCTGAGTTCCCAGCCTTCCTCTCCTTCGTCTCCTTCGTCTTCCTCACAAGCGTCTTTTTCGTCTTCATCGGATGACTTGGAGTACGCTCGTCTTTGCCAGGACGAAAAGTACGAGGGACTGCAGATCCAGGCTTTCGAAGTAGAGGATGGTATCTCTCTCGCAGATACCATCATCGCACCACTCCCCTTACCGCCTTGGCTGAGATATCCTAAGAACCTTGCTTTGGCCTTGGTCCCGAGTTTCTTGCACCCAGTGGACCCTGATGCGATACCAAAGCCCCTCCACCCATCAGCTTGGCTCGGTAAGTTGATTCAGACTCAGCACAGCCTTATGTTTGTTAGCTGACTGAAGACATTGTAGATGGACTTCGAGGCCTCGCAGCGTTCTTCGTCGTCTGCCACCACTGGTCCCTCGTCACGCTGCCCATCGAGGTCCGCCGCGGCTTCATGAGCGATGACACTCCTCTCGTTCTCCAGATGCCGATCCTTCGCTTGGCACTTTCTGGACTATCGAATGTCTGCGTTTTCTTCGTCATCTCGGGATACGCCTTGAGTTACAAGCCCATGAAGCTCATCAAACAGAAAAAGGCAGGCGAATTCGCAATCGCCACTGCTTCTTCCGCCTTTCGTCGGTATATCCGCCTCTTCCTCCCGACAATGATCACGTCCCTCGCCGTCGCCGGCATGGCATACTTCAAACTCTTCGAGCTTGAGCCTATTCCCGGGCCAGCCGTCATCGCGTTCAGACCACCAGCGTTGGACACAGTTTGGGATCAAGTGAGGGGATGGTGGATGCACTTCTCAAACTTGTCCGACCCCATTTCCAAGAATATGGAGAGAGGAAGAGGATTCCCCTATCAGCCGCAACTCTGGACCATCCCCGTGGAGTTTGAAGGTTCACGGGTCATCTTTTTGGCACACATCGCCTTTTACCGAGTTCGTCCCAGCGTTCGAATCTTTTTCCTTGTGTGTCTCCTCATCTACACAATCAACTCCGGCTACTGGCAATTCTTTCTTTTCTTCTCGGGCCTGCTTCTCGCTGTCCTCCGATTTTACGGCAATGATGAGATTGCCGACGACGAAAGCCATGGCTACGACTGGCACAGCCTGCCTCACCTATCGAGCCCTTCATATTGGCGACGTGAAGGACTGAGCGGTTTCAATGCGCCAATCTCGTTGATCAAATCGTCAAACACCTACGGCATCTCCAAGAAGTCTCTCCAGGTAGCCTCTTTTATCGGCGCCCTGTGGGTCTTGTCGTTTCCCGAGGGGAGCGGAAGTGTTTCGGTAACTCCAGGCTTCAGAACCCTTTCATGGTTGACTCCTGCACCATACGGTGAAGGCGACCTCTTTTGGATCCCTGTCGCCGCCGTCTGGCTGGTCTTCACCATTGACCAGTCGCCATTCATTCAGCAGCTTTTCACGGGCCGAATCGTTCAATATCTCGGTCGGATATCGTACGCCATCTACCTCATCCACGGCTGCCTGCTTTGGCTGTGGGGCTACCATCTCCTTCAGTTCTTCAGCGCCATTACCGGAATTCCACTTGAAGCCAACCTTGGTGCTGGCTGGACTTTCGTCGTCTTTCTTTCAACATGTCTTTTCCTACCGGGTGTCGTCTGCGTGGCGGACTTCGTGCAGAGATATGTGGACGCCAATGCTGTCAGGTTCGCGGCATGGTTTGAGGGAAAGTTGATTGAGAAGACAAATTAGCATTTGCGAGGTTGAATAATCAAGTACTTGGTTTAATCATTTAATACATTACGATTCCGTATAAATGCACTTACCACATCACACAAAAGCCTACTCAAAGCCAGGAGATCAACTTGTTACTGAAACCATCGCACCGGTTCAGAGCCCTCCTGAGATGTACCATGGACTACTACAAATGTGGTGTTATCGAAGCGACGCCGAGAAGATGGATGATATCGGATGGTGTTGGAGGCACTCCATCTTGCGACTTATTCTCTATTGGGAGAGACATACCAATGCAACTATCTACAATGTGTGTGAGATGCTCAACGCTGAGTCAGCTCGGTCAGGGCGTGCATCATAGCTTCACCTCGGTGAACGTCAAATTGGGATGAGAGTTCCGCTAAAAAAGCCGGAGAAACGAGCGTGGCGATCCTTTCTCCGTGAGGTGGATCGTCATGTTAGCCCAGACGCTTCCACCAGAATATCATAATGGATCATCGGCTAGTCAACCTTGTGGAAGGAAATTTCCGAGTCAGGGCCCCAGGGTGAAGGTGGATACTGTCGAATACGAGCAATGGCGCAACGCCCATGGTGTTCCCTAATTGGATTGCCCGTCCGCTCGTAGGGTTTAAGGCTGGACATGTTCTCATGTGGGAGGCGATCTGAATGGAGACGCCAATCTCGGTTCATTTGATCAACCTTCTTTACAAGCTTGCAGATTAATCTGGCCTTGCGGGCGCGCTCAGGGGGGGGGCATTATCACGTTCGAAATATGAAGGCCAACCTGTTCTTCTCATCCAGCTGTGCTTCGCGCATCTTGGCGTAAGTCTTTTCATGTCTCCAGGAAGCTTCAAACACGAACTAAGGTTGCCAAGCCGTGGTGTCATTTGAGACATGGGAGTACCAGAGGCACAGCGCAGCTGGGAGCTGGAAGACCGAGCCAAGCAACCTTCCTTTAACCCACCACAAGAAGACATAGCCGCCTATGGCTCAACATCAAAATATCAAACCGAGCCTCGATGGCCCTTCCAGGAAGTAGTAGAAGACAAGCAGCCTCACTTCACACCACCACCTCCGCCACCGCCTCCCCCTCCAACAAACCCGCCGATTCACCATCAACCCGCCCCGAGTCCGAGGGGGTCTGGCCACACTCGTCACGTCCTCAGGTACTGGGGCCTCGAGATCTTCACCCTCTTCGTCGCAATCTGCCTACTCGCCGCAATTATCTGGCTTCTCGCACATTACGATGGCCACTACATGCCGAAATGGCCCTTCGAAATCAACCTCAACTCCGCCATCGCCCTCCTCTCGACCTTTCTCCGCGCCGCCATCGTCGCAGCTGTGGCAGAAATCATCGGCCAGATCAAATGGACCTGGTTCGCTGAACAGACCCGGCCCCTCCAGCACCTCCAGGACTTTGACGCCGCGAGTCGCTCCATCCTCGGCTCCACGAAGCTCCTGGCGATGCTCATGTGGAACCTGGGCTTCTCCTCCACGGGCTTCCTCGCCATCGGTGCCGCCACCGTCACGATTGCTAGTCTGGCGGTCGGCCCCGTCACACAGCAGGCCGTCCGCACGGTGACTTGCCCGATGCTGGAGGATAACATCGTGGCTAGGATCCCCGCCGCGAACTATGTACCGGGGTCGTCTGCGTACTACCGCGTCGGCGCCGGGTCTTACGAGATCGAGGTGGACATGAAGAGTGCCATGATCCAGGGGATCACGGATCCAGGTAGCCAGGACAGTAATGTCCAAGTCTTCTGCCCCAGCGGAAACTGTACGTGGGCGGACTACGGCACAGGTGTCACACACGCGAGCATCGGGATGTGTAGCAAATGTATCGACACGACGAGCTTCGTCAGCGAGCCCAACACGGTGGGAAACCTCTCGCTGCCAGACGACGGCGCCATCATCAATATCCTGGCCGGCAAGTACATGTGGATGGGCCACAGCAACCTGACAGCGTACACGAAGCTCTTCAGCGACGACTTCGCCGCGGCTGCCGCGGTGTCAATGGCCAACTTTAGCATGCTCATGATTTCGACGTCTCCTTGCACATCGGACAACTCTACGGGTATCTCGAAGCTTACGTGCCCGCATCGTCTTTCGCAATCCGACGATAGCTATTTCAGCGACCTTGGGGATTACGTCGCCGCCTCGTGTATCCTGTACCCGTGCATGAAGGAGTATCACGCGCGGTACGTGAACAACACGCTGACGGAGACCCTGGTTCGCACGACGACGGCTGTATCTAATCCCGCTGAGAACGCGGCATCGGGATACTCGGTATATGGCAACTACACAGCGAGACAGAGCCCGTGTGTTATTGACAACGGCACCTGGTACGATTCTACCAATCAAAGCCAGGCCTTGGACATCCCCGGACGCATCTGGACGAACTTCAGCACGAGCGGCAGCGACGAGGTCAGCCGCGTGCCCAACGAATGCTTGTACAAGATGGACGGGATCTTCTCCTCCGCAATATCGACCTTCCTCAAGGTGAGCTTGCTAAGCGCCTCGTGCCGGTACGACTCCATGCAGAGCGGGCACCTCAACTGCTACGACTCGTGGTGGCTCACGCCGCTATGGGCCGACATGAACGCCACCGTAACCAGCCTCACGAGCGCCGTCGACGACTTTGCCTGGGCCGTGACGAACAAGCTCCGGATGACGGGGCTCGGACCGGACGTCGTTCCTGGAGCGGACGCTCTGTTGAACCGGCGGGCCGAAGCCTTGGGCGAGGTGTGGGCGAGCTCGACGTGTACCTACTTTGACAGGGAGTACATCGCGCTGCCCATCATTTTGGTCGGTCTCTGCGGGATCCTTCTGGGCTGGATCATTCTCAAGAACTACAACGACCCGGAGCAACCCGTTTGGAAGGGCAGCGTGCTACCTCTGTTGTTCTTTGGGCTGCACGATACCATGGGACCAAAGGGGACTGCGGGCGGAGCGGGCAACGGCGCCGGCGATCAACCCAGAGACGGGGGACGCATCGCGAGAAATTTGACGTTTTTCAAGGAGAATGGTCGAACAGCGCCAGAGCTGTATCGGATTCAGCAGGAGTCGGGCCGGATGCGGGTGCGATTTCACGGCGGGACGGATCCGGGATTTTTGGATCTGGGGACGGGGAGGAGTGATCCGGAGGCCGCGAATGCGTCATTAGTGCCGGGGCAGGGTGACTCGCGTGGCACCAAGATGAGATGATGCTTGCCGTAGAGAAAGTAGTATAAAGGTGTGTACTTTTGTTAATGTTGAATGATTCACATCTGTCTTGGTTGTATCCATGTGAGCTTTTCCCCAGGGAAACGTTGTTAACGCTAAGGTCCGTTCTGGAGGCTGATGCATACCGGCGCCGATTCCGGAGAACGCGACTGAAGGAATCACTTGGTGAAATCTGGCAGTCTGTCGTAACAGAGCCTACCCAACTACGATGAAGAAATGTCTGGACAAGAGAGGCGACAACCGGATCTGGCGTCATGCTGTGCTACACTTCATCGGTCCGACAATATCTCCCCGTATCACCCACGACTCGTGGAAGCCAGCCTTAAACCCCAGCATCCGCGTTTCTTCCCGACCGAGCCGCTTCGATGCGCCGATTTGATGCGCTACATGGTCAAACATCGAACGATGGAAAGCTAGAGGATCCAACCCTTCCGGCTGAATCCAAAACCGACAGCGATGCCGCCTGACAGGTCATGCCAATCAGGAGAGATGGATCCGTCAGCGAGCTGTGAGCAGAATCCCAGCCATCTGGCATTGGACGGACTCTGTCCCCATATGTTCCTGGCACCTAGCCAGTTAGAAACAAAAGAACAGCTCTTGATGGAGTCTAGTCGACGCCGTCTGTCTTCCAGAGTGTCCTCCCCGCATGCTTTGAAGCTTTCCCACGGGTTTCCCCCGCATTTCGGCTCCTAGGCGTTGGAATTACACTTACCCATGCCATCATCGCTACTCATTCTCCCGGATCTATGTTTTGCCCCCCTTGGCTGAGTAAACCACCGCAGGGACCATGGCGGGGGTTAGTCCGTCGACTCTTGTCGAAGTCTGGTGGTGGGATGGATGAGCCACCGCGGGGCACAAAGCGCGAGGCGCGAAAGTTTACCCCAAAGAACTGAACCCCTAGTCAAATTGCCGAAGTCTGTTGCCGCACTCGATGCCGCACTCTGTTGCCGCAACCAAGATGGTCATACGATTCATGCCCACCATCCATGGCTTGTCTGGATTGCGCTCTCCCTAAATCCGGGGCTCCAGATTTTGATACTTAACCATCATGGCCCTCCGGTTCGTTCGCAGGTTTGCTCCTGTTTCAAAGAATCTCTCATCCTCCAAGTGCTCTCCTCCATCTCCATCACAGCGTGTTGTTCCTGTTACCCTCCCAGATACCCTCCACCAACTACATCTCCACAACTTCCATCACAATGGCTACGAACGGCACAAACGGCGTCAACGGACACGCCAACGGCGCCAACGGCACCAAGAGCAAGTTCGACCCCAACTTCACACAACATGTTATCGACCTCATGAGCCCCGAGACCAAGCCCAGACACAGAGTGGTTCTCGGCTCTTTGATCAAGCACCTTCACGACTTCTGCAGAGACGTTGAGCTCACACAAGAGGAGTGGATTTTGGGTGTCAACTACATCAACTCCATTGGCCAGGCCTACCAGAAGAACCGCAACGAGGCATGGAGAGTGTGCGATATCCTTGGTATTGAGTCGTAAGTGACACCCCACCAAACTCCTTTTTCCCTTTCCCTGCTCGTCTAGCGCGGCCGTCTACTCCGAAAATCATTTACCCCGCGTGCGGCTTTTCCGGCCACGCCAATGCGACGCGATGCTCGCAAGGAGAAACCCAGCCAATGGCTAACAAATCTTGCCCCTCTACAGTCTCGTCGATGAGATCAACCACACGGTCGAGACCGACTCCGGCGTCGCCCCCACATCTTCCACCATTCTCGGCCCCTTCTGGTCCCCCGAGACCCCCTTCCGCGACCTCGGCGCCTCCGTCGTCCAGAACATGCCCAAGGATGGCCAGCTCACATACTTCCACGGTGTCATCAAGGACGCTGAGACGGGCAAGGGCATCCCCGATGCCATCTTCGACATGTGGCAGGCCAGCACCAACGGAAAGTACGATGTCTTTGACCCCGAGAACCAAACCCGCCACAACCTGCGCGGCAAGTTCAAGACGGACGCCGAGGGCAAGTTCTACTTCTACTGCCTCAAGCCCACCGAGTACGCCATCGACACCTCCGGCCCTTCGGCCGACCTCCTCAAGCTCATGGGCCGCCACCCGTACCGCCCCGCGCACATTCACATGATGGTCACGCACCCCGAGTTCATCGGCGTCACGGCACAGCTCTACCCCAGCGACGACGCGTACCTCGAGACCGACACCGCCTGCGCCGTCAAGGACGATTTGCTGCTTACCTTCAAGCCCGTCCAGAACGAGGCCAAGGGCGCCACCCTTGACGTCGAGTACGACGTCCGCTTGGTGTCCAAGAAGTACAAGCCGGATTCCCAGATGCTCATGCAGAACGCCAACCAGAACAAGTTCTAAAGTTGTGGGGTATTCTGATTCGAATGAGTGGTTGTTTCAGCATGTGAGAGCGGCAGGCAAATGTGTGTGTGTGTGTGTGCATAGTACACTGAAAGGACAACACACTGGCTGGATAATTGTTTTGAGCATGAGACTCCGAAGAACGGAGATTTCTCCCTTTTTTTTTCCCCCGTGTATCCCTCAAACCGCACTGCAAAATGGCGTCAGTGCAAATGTGGCCCGTTAGAAGGCCCAATTTTCTCCGCACGAATTAGAAATTGATATCCTCTTCAAGATGATTCGGTAGAAAACTACGGTACTTTGGTGATTGGTTGAAACCCCGCGTCCTTGTGTCCTCGTCTCCAAGTTTCCAACTCGTAGACTTTCGGTTTGGCTATTGAGTTTCTGGGCAAATGGTACGTAACGATGTTAGTAGATCGGCTCTTGAGAACCGTTTTTGGATCAATAATTATCTCCCGGGAAGTGAATCTCCATTTGCTTTGATGAATGGCTTTGGACTGACTGAACTGACTGAAAGCTCAAATCTGAGACTCTGCGTATCTTCAGTCAACAGTGTCCCCGACTTTTCCCCTCCCCCTCCTCCACTTAACGGGTTCCTTCGGAAAGCCTCGGCTAAGCTATTCGCCATCTCCCTTCGCTCTTGGGGGGACGATTCTTTTCCCGACTCGAAATGCCGTGGGGGGCGAGACCGGGGTAGGACGTGCGTCAGTGGGTCGCGGCCGGAACTGGAGAGCGGCTTGGGCACTTTGCGACGCTGCTGACATTTTTAGAAGCCAAGAGATCATAGTTTCCCCTGGTTCCGAATGAAGGTCTGCACGTTATCGTGCCGTGCGTGCCTGACAGCTATTACGGCTGATGGGGACGGCAGGCAAAGGACATAGGATCCGCGGGCTCGGGTGGTCGCTTCTTCGGTCTTAACATGAAGGCTGCAGATCTACGGATAGCAGGAGAGCCTCGTTTGCGTACCCCGCGCTCCTAGTTTGGTGGAGTGTCTGTCGTCGCCGGCAAGTAAATCGGTCTGTAGATGGGTGACAGGGAGTAACCACCGCCGTCAAGCCACACCCTCTAATTTCCTGGCAACAGGCTTCTGGCATTGGATTTAACCTCACAGTATCGTGAGTTCAAGGAGATGTGGCAGTGACTCGTTTCCGACCCTAGGCTCAGAGTCGTGGAACGCGTCTCGGATAATATCTCGCCGTCCGCGCTCCGCGTGCCGGGGAAGATGTAAGCCTCGGCGAGATCTACTAACCTAGCCAAGATATCCCATCTAGCTAGACCTCACCGTTCGAGGGAACCCGGCAAAGCTCCAGACGAGTCGTCAAGACTCAGCTGCTCCACTATCAGCACTTTGACTCCCGTCATTCTAGTAACAATTACCACGTGGCAGATCAGAAGTTCTCCTATGACAGGCATAGACAGCTGTCCAGCGGTAGGCCCCTCCATTTCCGGCAAAGCGCGAGGGCACTATCTCTTTGGCATGAGAAATCACATATCCCCGAGCCCGTCTGGGATAGCCATAAGTTAAAGCTTGCTCCAGTGTATGAATGTTTCCTGACGTGTTGTCGGCACAGTCAGTATGCTCAATCCTATCAGGATAGGCCTCAATTGTAAGAGATATCCATTGATACGTCGTGCCACCTAGCCCGGCCGTTTGATACCCCCTGTGCCGCCTGCCGCAGTTATCGGACCGTCTAGCATGTAATCCGGTATGAGATCCGATTCGTTCCCACGCTGCCGGTGCCGATGTAGGTAGGCCAAAGAACCAAGGCGTTCTCCGGCTCCGACGGTCTTAATACTGACTCCCGCATCTGTACCTGTACTCTGTGTCACCGAATAAAATAGTGCGGCCGAGCTTCCATGGTATCCTTTGTCGTCGGATTTGTTTTATGCTGGGGCTTGACGTATTTCCGCTGTTCTTTGTGAAACCCTAGATGTTGGTACGAGGGAATCGGATGTTCCAGCGTGTGGCATCTTCCCCTTCTGTCGAAAGCTACATGATCTCATAGACCTCATAGAAGAAAGAAAGTTGGGGGGACACATCGCTCGCATATTCATTGATTAACACTTTTCGAAGGAGAGAATCAGTCGTGTTGCAAAGAGCCTATCGAAGACCAACTCGGGCATCAAGGTCACTCACCGAGCAGCAGATATTGGCAATTTCGATGAGGTTGACAAGGCAATTGGTTCAGCCATTGAGGAGATCGGCGACATTGACATTCTCATCAACAACGTGAGTCAACTTCGTTCTCCTTCCAAGCTTCGCTGACCCATCACCCTGAAGGCCGGTCTCGCCCTAGGAGCTCCCGCCAGGTTCCCGGACCTGAAGATCGAGGATATCATCACCATGTCAAACACAAACATCAACGGAACCATGTTTGTGACACATTCGGTACTCAACAGGCCCATGATGAAGCGAAAGCCCGGAAAGGGCACTATTCTAAACGTCACCTCTGTTACCGCGCATGAAGTCCCGCCGTTCCCGGGCAAGGCGGTGTACCACGCCAGCAAAGCTTTCCAGGAGGGCTTTACCAACTCACTCCGCAACGAACTAGTGGAGACCGATATCAAGGTACTGGCAATCAGGCCTGGTGTTGTTGCGACTCACTTCCATACACAGCGTGTGGGATTCGATCAGGACCAATACGACTCATCCGTTGATGGCTACGAGTAAGTCTACGCCGCGGGTCTATCTCTACTGCATTCTACTTGATGCAACTAACGATACTCAGTCCGCTTGTTTCCGATGACGTTGCCCAGGCAGCTGTTTATATGCTGGAGCAACCGGAGAAGGTCTCCATCAAGGCTCTCGATGTCGTTCCTACAGGTATTTCGAGTCTTGCCCCTGTCACTACACCAACCGACTGACCGCGACTAGCTCAACGTTCACTCACCGTATTCGATCGGACATGGAGTCAACGCAGCCATCAATAATTTGATCATTGAATGGACTATGCAGTGTATAGCCAAAGTCGTGCAGTCATAGAGATTCGGCATTGGTTTAAGCCAGAGAGAATTTTACATCGACTTTCCGAATAGTGTTTGGCTTTCTTGAATGGAAAGTAATGCTGCATATCTAGTTGGCCTAAGTAGGTCTAGTTATTAGAGTAATACTGCATAGTCGGATTTCGGCCCCCATTAAGGATGCTAAACCGAAGTCCCTAGCCCGAGTCGCTTTCGCATTCGTACGTCCAGAGCTTTGATTGGTGTATCAACGACCTTACGATCACCATCTCACTTCAACCTACGATGCTCTTGACTTGACCAGCAAATGCCTCATCCATGTATTGGACAGTTGGAGTAACGTACGTCTCATTGGAAGATCGGCGTCCGGACTCAGTCCTGGCCGACTTGGCTTCTCCGCACTGTCGTGGCACCGGTGTTTAGCAGTATATCCGAAGGCCGCAATCATGCCGGTACAACTACAAAGCCCTCAAATCATCGCCTTGTTCAACTCGTTATTGCAAACATTAAACTCAAATATACTACCATTTCCTACAAGAGAAAGAAGGCGTTGCGCTGCTTACGCATTCAAGACCCAGAAATGGCTATCCCATCGTGTTGCTTGAAAGCCTTCGAATGGGACGGCACGCCTACGGGCCGAACCGACAAGCTTGCCAACAATGACGTTTACATCGCCGGTGACAACCCTGATGCCGCGATCGTCATCGTCCACGACCTTCTAGGCTGGACTTTTCCCAACGCACGTCTCTTAGCGGATCACTACGCTCGCGAAGCCAATGCGACGGTTTACCTGCCCGACTTCTTCGGCGGTTGGATTGTACCCTTTGAGCCGGTGCTTCAGGGCCGATGGCACGAGTTGGACCTGTCGAGTTTTGGAAGGGACAATTCACGAGAGATTCGAGAGCCTGAAATCACCAACTTTGTCAAGGAGCTTCGCAAGAAGCACAAGAAAGTCGGAGCTATTGGGTTTTGTTATGGAGGTTGGGCGGTGTTCCGCCTAGGAGCCAAAGAACATAGCCCCCCGTTGGTCGACTGCATCGCGACTGGTCACCCTAGCTTGCTGACCAAGGAGGACATCGATGGCGTTGGGGTTCCGGTGCAGCTGTTGGCTCCCGAGTTTGATGTGCAGTTCACCCCCGAACTCAAGTCACATTATTTCGAAACTATGATGAAGAAGGGTGTGCTGTTTGAGTATCACCACTATTCCGGCGTTGAGCATGCTTGCCTGACTAGAGGAGATCCCGAAAAGCCTGGAGAGAGGGAGGCGATGGCTTTGGCGAAGTCAGCTGCGGTGAGATGGTTTATTCAACATTTGCACTGAAGATACCGGAACGAGGAAAGAATGGAAGAAAAGAGATTGGAAGGGAGTATGAGGTCGACAGAGGTAGGAAACGCGGCAATTGAGGTAGGGCAGGATTTGAAGGGCCTTGTCTAGCAGTCATACCCAGAACACAGGTCTCGCGATAGAGCTGGTCCTAGCCATCCGGTGATGCGCTGTTGACTCAATACATAGGTCCAGTCTACACCGCTTCAAGTGATGACCAATTCTTTGATGTTTTCTTCGACTTATTTGACGCAATGTCAAGTTATTCCCTGCAGCCAAAGAAGGAGCAAATTGCAGATGCATGCCCGCTTGAAAGTGCATCCTGTTATCTAACTTGCGGCAGCTTGCCGTTGGCCCAGACAGTAACAATAGCATGGAATTTCATTTACATTAGTCTCATGGTGGGAAGGGTGACAGACATGATACGAGATTCTCTGAGCCACTTAGTTGATTTCATCAGCGTAACAGTGAAGTTGAGATATGACATTTCTCACTTGCCTCGTCACGATAGAGTGGTAGTTGCGCTTAAGCTAACTCAAAAATACAAATCTTCGAGTCAACTGTGGACTTCTCATTGTAGCTAGGCTGTCGGAACATGAGGCTGTTTACGGCATCACAATGCTCAAACGAAAACCAACACGATGTTGATGACAAACCTTGAGATGTCTCGAATTATTCGTATCCTAAAACGAAGGGGAAAAGCTGAAAGGCAACGCGGGGTTGAATCAGATTTGTAAGCCAAAGCCTTTAGAAGAGCCACCTCGGCTGAGGTTTTGGCCCGCCGCCCCCGGTCCTCCAGTCACTTCCGGAACCGAAACCGAGTGGGCTGGCGCGGGCCCCCGGCCCTAGGTGCGGGAAGCTGCGTCCCCGTTGCATTCAGCCCTGTTGGAACAGCAAAGGCTGATAAGGAGTAATAGGCAGGTACCATGGGCTGGCTGGCACCTGCTCTGGGCGAAGGGGGACAACTGGCTTAGTCATCACGGCCGGATAAAGGTGGGGCAACCACCCAGGCCGTCACTACCTACTTCGACCGACTCCTGCCTACAATGTAAGATAGAACAACAAGAAGAACAAGCAATAGGATCACCAACAGACGAGTGATAATTGCTACCACTATTTGTCGTATACGACCCCGTGAACCAACAAGCCCCAACCCGATAAAACTCCGCTGCGTCAAACCGGGCCAGTCCGCAGGTCTTCCCCGCTTTTTGCGGACTTTTGACTGTTCGAGACATCGAGAAATAGCGTTACTATGATATCATCTTCGGGTTGATTATAAGAGCCAATAGTAGGCGATTTTATGGGTAAAGAGGGATCCATACTTGACTCTACGAGTTTCGGGAGCATAAGTTATCCTCAAGTCCAACTCATCGGCAACAAACACTGGAGGCTTGAGATCATTGGCTTCAATTCCAAACAACAAAGCATTCTAGCTTCTTGACAACCCAAAACAAACATCCAATATGAAGGTCGCAGTCCTCGGCGGAACCGGCGTGACCGGAACTTCGATTATGAATGGACTCCTCTCCTCGCCTGAGACTAAATATGTGAGGACTTCGTCTCTATTAACGTTGTTACATCTTGATGTTTAGTACTGATAAGTCTTCTGATAGGAGATAACCGCGCTTATCCGACCGAGCTCGCTGGAGAAGCCAGAGGTCAAAGCTTTGGAGAAGAGGGGCGTCAAGATTGCTTCAGTAGACCTGAGCGGACCCGAAGATGAAATCGCGAATCAGCTTACCGGTCATGAGGTGGTCGTTTCAGCCATTGTGGCAGACAAGCTGCTCGGCCAAATTCCCCTCGCCAATGCGGCTAAGAAAGCGGGCGTAAAGCGATTTGTCCCCTGCTTCTTTGGGACGGTGATGCCCGGCAGGGGTATGTTGTGGTTCCGGGACCAGGTAAGGAACAGATTGTTGAACGTGTAGAGAGAGGATGTCTTGAACCACGTCCAGACTCTCTACCTCCCGTAAACTGTCATCGATGTTGGCTGGTGGTACCAGGTCAGCTTGCCGCGTCTTCCCTCGGGACGTATCGATGCAGTCGCGAGTCCATTCGACAACTGGATCGCCGGAGACGGAACCGTTCGCTCTGGTATGACTGACCTACGCGATATCGGCAAATACGTCGCACGCATTATAGCGGATTCCCAGACCCTGAATCACAGAGTCTTCGCGTTCACCGAGCTCTTGTCCCAAAACGAGGTGTACGATTTGATCAAGAAGATGAGTGGAGAAAAGGTTGAGAGGAAATACGTAAGTTCTAGACCACCTTGGACTCGTGGACAAAAAGGGACATATGAGACGAGAAACCGACGGTGAAGGCTTAATATTTGAGCGATTAAACTAATATCACAATGCAGATGTCGGGTGACGAGATTGAGGCTGAGATGGTCAAGGCGAAGGATGACAAGGCCAACCCTCATAGGCTGTCGGTTTTGCAATATCGGAAATCGTGGGGTCTCCGAGGAGATAACACGCCGGAGTACGCGCGCTACCTAGGATATCAAATCGCGAAGGATCTGTATCCCGATCTGACGGGTAATTCGTTTGAGGCTTTCTGCAGCGAGGTTCTGGAGGGCAAGGCGAATTCCATCTACGAGAAGAAGAAGCGAGAGGCCATGGAAGCAGCTGGCAAGAAGCGATGTATCAAGGAACTTCGTACTTGGTAGGTTTCAACAGGCTACAGCAATTGCGGCTATTGTTGGAACGTAAGTCGGAGTCAGTAGCCGGTCTTGCTAGACCAATAGGTGAATCCGCAGAAATTCGAAACTTCTATTAAAGTCGCGGTGCCTCCACTAGTGAGCTGATCCATTCAAGGCGGCCCCCGTTTCGAGTTGAAATCCATTCATTTGATCTGCATGCTTAAAACCTTGATGCTGTAAATATGGTTCGTGAGCGATCAGAGTTCAGTCTAAGTCAACTCGGACTAATACTCGCCTTGGCATTACCAACGAATCCATAGAGCTCCGACTTAGGAGTTCACAAGATCAGGAACCAATCGAGGCAAGCTTAAAGCGCCCAATCTGATAAAACAGAGGCACATGTACTATTAACTGCAAAGACTTGCAACAACGGGCTTTTAACGCACATTATGCTGAGGGTTCACCCGCTGCAGTCAGAGAGGGGGAAAGCCGCGATAACAAATGTCGCCGAAGGTCGTCATGTTCAGGCCTTCGGCAACTGACGCAGGAAAGCCGCCTCCCAAGCGTGTGGGTGTTTTATCAGATCCATCAGCCGCCAAGCGCTTCCCCGCCCGTCTTCGCTCAAATCCGAACAATTTCATTTGACAAGATGCCATTTCCATGCCCGGTAGTGGAGTGCGCTTGTGCAATGGAACCACAAATCTAGATGGGGAGACGGGGCCGCCGGCCACCACATCAAAATGACTAGGAAAACTGGTAGTCGTGAGGCCATCAAGGTTCTCTGATGAGCAAGTTTCTCTTCATTCTTTAGACATCTTTCAAGTTTTTGCGCGTTTACTTTCGCTTACGACTTTTGGGGGTTGGATTGACGATTCATCGCCAACGTCGTGTGCTCCAAATAGACAAACCCTTGTCACGCACGCCCTTGTATTGTGCAGCAGAAAATTTGAGGTCTACGGATGAATGACACGATATTACAGAAAGAACTCTAAAAATTCTTTATAGGATCGTTTATTTCACTCAATAGTCGTGAGATCAATTGTTCTCGTTGCATCTTGGACAGCATCAGGAAGGACCTTATGTGGCCAGCGATTGACGGAAAACATGTCGACTGAAAACCGATCAACCGGCAAGAAGGTCAAGGGTATGTTGTTGAGCCTCAGATACTGTCAGTCCTACGTATGTATACCTTGGGCTAACTTTCTTGGCTTTGCGCAGCCTTCTTCCTTGGCAATGAGGCAACTTCAAAAGAAGAAAGACGTCTTGTGCAGAAAATAGGTAAGCTGCTCCTAATTCGAAGTCGCTGCGACTACGTTTGGGAGAACGATGAAACTGACTAACATAATCCAGACTTCTTCATCTTGACGTACTGCTGCCTCAGTTACTTCTTCAACTATCTGGGTGAGTGATGGTCGACGCGGCTTCGTGAAAGGAACTGTGTCACTGACGATGGACGAAAACAAAAGACCGTGCTGCTTTTGCCAATGCTTATGTGAGTTTCATCGTCGAAGATGAGTAGACCGTTAGAAATCAGAAACTGATGAATTCTCCTCCAGGTTGCTGGCCTCCGCGAGGCCTTGCACATGAAGGGCCATGATTACAACACAGTCTTATCTGTGACTACTGCTGGGTAAGACTCAGACCGATCTACAGCTCTCCCACAACCGCGGGCTGACCCATGTTTTAGTATGGTGGTCGGACAGATTCCCCATGGCATCGTCATTGGTCTCCAAATCGTCCGGCCGCGAATTTGGCTGCCGTCAATGTGCTGTCTCTGGGCATTCCTGACTGTACGTATAATGTCTGCGGATGATGCCGTTGCAATTCGCTAATAGTACTTACTTAGATGGCTAGTGCGGGTGTCAAAAACACCGCTCAGCTCTGCGTTATTCGATTCTTCCTTGGTCTGGTGGAGGCTAGCACCTACTCCGGGGCCATTTACATCATGGGCTCCTGGTACAAGCCCGAGGAAATCTCGAAGCGCACAGCCATCTTCACTGCATCGGGTCAAGTAGGCACGATGTTTGCCGGCGTCATGATGGCTGCTATCTACAAGGGACTAGGCGGCCTTGCTGGTCTTGGTGGATGGCAGTGGGTCTTCATCATTGGTATGGAAAGCTTGCCGACACCTGGACTTGGGATAACTTGCTGACAGTCTTCAGATGGCATCATCACGCTTCCCATCGCCATCTTCGGTTTCTTCTACTTCCCTGATATCCCTGAGAACACCAGCGCTCGGTATCTCAGTGATTCTGAGAAGAAGATTGCTGTTGGACGTTTGCCCCCGGTCATTAAGGGGTCACACGGAGTCAATCCGTTCTCTCTGTTGAAGCGTCTAGCACTTATGCCCACGTTGTAAGTCGAGGATGACATTGAACACAAGACGAGACGGAATAGCTAATCAATTGACAGCTGGGTTTTGGTGCTGTGGTCTCCCATTTGCGCGACCCTCGAGGCCTGGGTTGTCCAGGGCAACTTCATCCTCTGGCTTAAATATCATGCTGAATCATTCATCCAGAGTCAAATCAACACCTACCCTTTGGGCGTTCAAGCTGTCGGTATCGTAACCAACATCATGGCAGCATGGCACATGGACGCGACCGGAACCCGAGTACCCATGGTCGTGCTGGTTTGTCTGATCCAGATCGTGTGCGCCGCGATGCTTCTTGTTCCGAACCTACCTTACGCCGGTACTATGTTCGCCTTCTACGCATCGGGTTCGTCGTACATGGTCAACCCGTTGATCTTCGGCTGGGCCAGCATCATCCTTCAACGTAGCGGCGACGAGGCAGTACGTAGCGTCACAGTGTACGCTATGAACATTGGCGCGACGACGCTTTACACCTTCTGGGGAATCGTCTTCTATGCGGCCGATGAAGCCCCGTATTGGAAGAAGGGTGCGATTGTAATGATTGTGTGCAGTTGCATCGTCCTCTGCTTTATGGGACTCGTCATCAGGGTAAGCTTAACAGAAGCAATCCCTTTTTTTCTGGAGATGCAAGTAGCTAACCATGAAACTACACAGATTGACAGACAATCACTCGCAAGGTACGGCTCAATGACGGTTCAGGACTTTGAGCGGGCCGCTGCGGCTCGGGAGACGCAGACGCCGCCTGATGGCGAGAGATCTGATGAGAATGAGGATCAGAAGAACACAGTTTCGGAGAAAGTAACGCCAATCTGAGTTTTAAGATGATTTGGCGATTCATGTCCTGGCCTTCTCAGTACAGATCATCAAACTCAACTGGGTGTTATTTAACCAAATGAAGCATTCAATACTTTAAGTATCTTTTTCGGCTGCTGTATAATACATGTACTATTGAGACGTTCAGACTCCTCATGCCCATACCTTTCTGAACTTGTCTTCGAACACCTGCTGTAGGATCTTGAAAATCATGAGAACTTTAATAAGACCCTCACCGCCTCCCTTTTCCTGGCCTGAACCGAAAGACGTTCCTTCTGACTCGGTAGTCTGACCGGCTCTGCTTGAGCTGCCACTCGCGTGGTCAGTATCGTCCGAGGAGCTATCCGATAGGTCTTCCCATGATTCAGCCACTGTTTCTTTGGATTTGCTAGAATGGGACTTTGCCTTTGCGTTCACAGTAGCAGTTGAGGCTGCATGCCTCTTCGGGGAGTGTGCATCCGATCCCTCACTGCATCTTCCCTCTTCAAGGGCATCGCCAACATCCTGAATATCGATCATGTCTGCGTCATCCGCATCGACTCGGCCCAGAATATTCTCCAAGCTTGTGACGATGGTGGCCAAGATGAGTGAGAAGTCTTTGAGACGAAACCAGACATCGCCGCCCTTGATCTCGTTGTCTCGTACGAGAGTATTAAGATCACCGTGCTTGAAGAAGTCATAGATGTACGCGTTCCAGGGCACATTGTCCGTCTCTTCGGGGTAGATGGGGATGTACGGGATGGCCGATTCGTCCAGGAAGACGCCAGCGCGAACTGTGTCGCACAACTCGTGGATTGTGGCGAAGTCGTCCGTGAAGCCTGACAGTGCAGAGAAAGGGGATCGAAGAGTCGAATAAGGCAGCATCGGAAGGTGTGCCGTTGAGATATTGGCCGAGGCCTCTCCGACGGCTCCCACGCGGCGCTTGGTGAAAGGAAGCTGGTCATCTGGAGAGTCCTGGAGATTCTGTTCAATGAATGTGTGCACGTAGGTCTTGAAAATTATCAGTGTTTCCTCGTTGTGACCTCGGAGAACGGCTTCGGCCTCAATTGGGAGCCTGGGCAGAAGGACAGTGGAAGGCGATCGATGTACGACATTCTCAAGCCACTGCCGGTTTTTGTATTTGCTGCAAAGAATTCGGCAGAAGAGGTGACACAATACCGTCACCAAAGTGAGAATGACCTGTCCCCGCTTACTTGGGTTGCCAACGTCTTCACAGAGCTTGTGCAAGTAGCCTTCCTTGAGCAGGGAGTGCAGAGCAAACACAGCATTCTCAGTGAAGTATAAGTGGCCCACCAGACCCGAGAAGTTGAGCGGTGCTCCTATTCGAGAGAGAAGTTGCTGACGTCGGAGATACTCGATGGAGAAGCGCAGGTGATGCTTGACGGTCATTTGCGAGCTAGGCCCGCCAAGAAACAGACGTGTCTGAGTCAACAAAGACTCCACTGCATCGATAGCATACTGGGAGTTGTTCGTGCTATGCAGCAGGGTAAAGAGCCGGAGAACCAAAGTAACTGAAATGGGGAATTGACCTTTGAGATCGGGCAACCGCGATGAGATGATTTCCATGGTACGATGATGGGGGATGCCATGGAAGACGATGTTACCAAGGAGGTCGAACCCACGACGTCCAGCACGTCCAGATGCCTGTCGGTAATTGAGAGCCGTGAGGAATACCGAGTCACCTGTAAAAACAACAGTTTTACAAGGCATGTTCAGGCCGAGAGCGAGAGTACCGGTCGCAATAACGACCGTCAAGTAGCCCTTGCGGAACAACATTTCCACCCTTTTGCCCTTGAAGTCAGCAACAGTTCAAATACAGGATTAGGCTTAACTTACACTTGGCGGTACTGCCGGTTCATGCCAGCATGGTGAACACCAAGTCCCCGACGAAGGGCATCGATAAGGCGAGGTTTGATGCCCAAATCATCCAGAGACCTGATGCGGACCTCCAATTCTTCAACTGTGAGCTTGGTAGTGTCCGCGAAATTGTATTGCGGAAGCGGCGCCTTGGGATCAAAACCTTCCCATGAGCTGAAATCCCGGTTCGCGTCTTCCCGTACAAGATCAGTTTGACTCAGGGCTGCACCAGAATCCTTTGTAGCACGTCTTTCTTCCTTGGAGCTTGCAGCCCCTGCTGCCATGGTAGTTTTGGCCCTTTTCTTCGCAGCTTTGCTGCCCTTGACTTGCCTCCATTTTTGATATGCGACCATCTTCCTTGCCCACTCTGTACTTGTGCGACGGTACTTTTGTTCGGCGTCTTCAAGAACTTGAAGAAGCTTGATAATGATCTTCTCGCATCCCAGCCGGTCGTAATTGAAAAGGATAGCTGGCAGGGCGCCTCGGGAGTGGAGATCAACGAGGAGCGAGAACGTAGAATCACCGTAGATGTCCGCGACAAGTTCGGGATTTCCAAAGTCTGTCGCTGATGAAGGGCCCTTTGTTTGAGCCTCCTGTATACCTCTGGCGACGGCGAATTGGTATCCTGTTGCCATTGCCAGAGCTGTGCTTTGAGAGCAGCCTCCCACTTGATAATGTCCGACTTTTTCACTAACTCTGGCAACGCAATCTCAGGCTTGAGGCTAGGACTGATACGATATGACTCGGTTTCAGATTCCATCATGGACAGCCAGAGTCGGAGACAGTCGCGGGGCTCGAGACTGGCATCGTCAAGAGTCTCGCGATTCCTAGGTATCAATAAATTAGTAAAAGGTGAACTTGAAAATTCGGCAAGACCGCATGAAATTTGTCTCAAGACTCACTTGTTGATAATGCTTCCGACCGGATGCACAAACATGAATCGCGAGGTTTCTCCTGCTTCAGCGTCCAAACCGGGGATCGGCAAACGCTCAACTGGCTCTAAGCCTTCAAACTCTAGTTGAGAGGGCGGCTGATATAAGAACTTGCGTAAGTCAGAGTATCTGGCCGAGTGAACAATCATTTCAAGGTCAAAGCCCTTGGCTTTCTGGGTTCGTGCAAGCCACTCTTTGAATTCGAGTGGGTTGCCCACCGTTGCAGATAGGGCAATGATGGGACAAGGAGCAAGAAGCAGAAGTTGCTCCCAAATGATGCCGTCTTCGGCCTGGCCAATGCAGTGGACCTCGTCAAAGATGATTCTCTTGACTCTACGAGCCCAGGATCTCTCATTCTGCGCATTGGTCGGCGCCAGGAGCATAATCTGGAGAATGTGCGGAACGGTCACTAAAATCTGGCAGCCATTGGGGTTGTTGACGCGGTAGTCTCGAGTGTGAATAGCCCAGACTGAGCGGCCCTCATGGCGATAGGACTTTGAGAACCGAGCCTGAACTTCTGCGGCAATCTGGTTGACGAGGGCTTTGGTGGGGGCCACGTAGACGAGCGCGTCGTCGTCGTTGTTCTGTAGAACCTTCTTCATGGCATAGAATGAGATGAAGGTCTTTCCGGCGGACGTGGGAGCGACGACGAAAAAACTCTTGTCTTCGTCAATGGCGTCTAGTACATCCCGTTGCCAGGCATCTGGACTGAATGAAACGCGTGGGTCGGGGGCGGAGTCGAATCTTCGCTCCAGATAAGGGCCGCAATGAGCCAACTGAAACTCGCGACCAGTCGTCTGGACTTGAAGATGCTCGGTTGATGCCTCATACGTTGAGGTAAATGGAAGACGATGGCTGACGGGCACAGAAGGCCCGCAGTGAAGTTCATCATGCGGGAACTTCAAAGCCTTCATCAAGTACTGGGCCTGGCGTATCACCTCAACGGCAAGGGGCAAGGACGTCATCTCTTTGATTTGGGCCCAGATCATCGCCAAAATACTCGACTCTACAGCAATAAGGTCAATAGAAGATGCCAAAAACAATTACTCAAGCTTGCTCTTACCTGAATCGCTGAAAGCCTTTTCCGAGGGTCTGCGAATAAGTTGGAGGCCAAGGATGTTGCACATGTACAACATGACCTCGCCGCCGATAGCGCTGTAACCTGTTGTCCTCTGGAGAAAGACTTGACAAATACCTCTTGACCCTCAAATAGCGATGACAGACATGTGTGTCCTTGTCGAAGTCCCGGCATTTCTCTTCCCAGTTCTTGATAATCACGGCAGTCCTGGCTTGTGTCTTCTCCTCTCTTAATCTCCTCGATGTCTCGAGTGCACTCTCTGTACCACTCCTGACAGATTGCCCTTTCCTTTTGAATGTTTCCGCTTGCTTCTTAGCCTTGACGGGAAGCTCTGTCTTCTTCACGACAATCGTCTCAGGGTCAATGCTCTTTCCAGTAGAATTGGTAAGACTAGCAGAGTAAGCAATCGTGTCGGCCATGTATTTCTGGTTTCTCTTGCTCGCGAAGAATCCCCGGCGCTTTGGAATATGCTTTGGGTCAATGCTCTTCTTCGAATTGTGCCAGTGAGAGAGTTCTTGAAAGACTTTGGACTCGAAGCTTTCATCCTCTGTCATGGGTTGGCTTGTCAACTTGATGTCTTCTAGATACTTATCCAATACGGGATGGCTAAAGGCAAGGGTAGACTGAGTGTCTGGAGTTTGGTAGCCCCTGCCGAGTGTTCCCAGGCCACCTTCAATCTGTCGAACAGAATTTGGCATGCAGTAGGATATATCGACGCCAGACAGTTGTCTCACAGCTGATGCATATTCAGAAGCGGCATCGCTTGGGAGTTGAAGGATTTGGAGTCTCGCCAATACGTGACAGTAGAGCCGACCGTCGATGAGATCACAAACTCTCCAACTGAGATGTTTTTCTTCTTCTAGACTGGGCCACTGCTTGATCAGGTGGATTGCGACCTCAGCAAAAGTCGCAAGAAACTCTTCGTTGCCTGAATAATTCTTCAGCTCTGGTGAAGCCTCTATAGCTCGCTGTGAGAGTGTTGCGTGCTTCAGTAGGGCGATGTGCGAAAGGAAAGCGGTCACTAGTCTGTGGCTGTGTAAATCCGAGCAGGTTTTGTTCAACAAGAAGGCTGCGCAAGCAATGATCGCCACTTCTTCTTGGGCCTCAACTTCGCCGTCGTGTCGGAGGACTCGCCAATAACGGGACTTAGGCATAGTCTGGAGACGATCGACAATCGGTCTGCAACCGGAATCGAGTTTCGGCAGCGGCGTTGGCTCTGTGACAGGTAGCAATGTCACCGAGGTTGGAGTTATTGCAATAAGAGTATATGCCTGTGGTAAACGAGTCACGTCAGCACCCTGTGATCTGTTGCGACCAGTCGCCTAGAGACTCACCTTGGAGCTCCGAAACTCGATACCGTCGATGAAAGCCAGGCTATAGCCGCGGAGGCCGAACAGGAACATAATTTTCAAGAACTCGCCCGCCTCAGTTGCGTCGATATCCGAAGCTCTGCCTTGGGACATCATGACGAAGTGAAGGCGGTGGTGGTCGGTGTACTCCAAGAATTTGGGGCTCGTGATGAAGGGAACACGAAGCTCATTGGAGATCTGATGCCGCGATCGTCAGAATTCGTTTCAGGGTGTAGCTCAGGGCATCGTAGATTCTCAATAGAGACAGCACGTGTCAATAAGTATTTGTATGCCAGTCTCTTGGGGGCGTTCGGTGGTGCCGCGAGGTCTTGGTGGTTGTCAAACCACAGGATGTGGAAGTTGCATCCCCGCTCCGTGAGTTTGGCCAGGAAGACCTCGATTGCATGGAAGTAGCTGGAAGCCGACTGTTGTACTAGTAAGCTAAGATCAGGTAGGTCATGAACGTATTCGGAGGAATTTCTGGAGATGCTCACCGAGATAGTCGACGTTTGCAGTCGCGACACAGTGAGCAACCAAGGACTCTCCATGGATGGCGAACAGCTCTTTCCCAGTAAAGTCACCGACAATGTCGACTTTGAGAGGAGTCAGACGCTGCTTCCACTCATGTAGAGAAACTATGATAATGTCCTCTGAGGACGACATAGCCGGCGATGTCAAACGATTCAAGCAGCCAGGTCAGGCGCGAATGGTCTATTTTTTGAAGGTCTGTCGCTTTCGGAAGATGAGGAAGGAAGTAAGGAGAAAGATTTTGAAGGAATCTCAAATTTGAAAGAATTTAAATCTGTATGGCTGCGCTATTGCATAAAGGGTTCAAAGAGGTGAACCTGGTTGTTGTGTTAGGGCTAATGTCGGTAGGCCTCCCGCAGCATGCAGCCGTTAATCACCTAGATCAAAGGGAAGCACATTTTTTCCACTGAGAGGTCATTCACTTCCAAATTGGGAGGGCTTAGCTTGTCTTTATCTTAGTGTATACTGGATTGTATACGAAGAGGAAGCGGGCTAAGTTTTCAATGTCGCTGAGAGGCCCTTCCAGCGTTCAATGTGGCTCGCGGGGGTTCTAGGTTAGGAAACAGCACAGGTCAAATAGAAGCCAAGCGATAGAGTTCATATAATCAACTAGTCTTCCATCTGCTTTCTTGAGAACATTTGGATATGCCTTGCTCTTGTTCTCGTGCGTTTTCTGGGCACCGCTCACGCGACCTTGGATTCCGATATAAGGTAGTTGGTCCTCGACATGAAGCCCCAGGCACCAAATATACGGCACAATGACACTGATTGCCACTACTCGCAGTCTACCAACTGCTCCAATCCTTTCTGTCAGTAGTGAGGGATATTTCTATCCACGATAGGTTTTATTGATCCTGGGGCTGGTAACTACAAAATGTCTGCGGGATGCCGTCCACACATGCTAACCCTCCCCTCTTAGTGAAGTAACCAATAGCATGACGTTGAGAGGTTGAGCATTGTTGCAGCCGATTTCTGAAAGTAAATGCCCCGAGCACATATTGTTGTCCCATGTCTCTAACGAAATCCAGTTAAAGATTGAACGGGCTTTCAGTTGAACCCGGTGACTACTAATTACGATATCAAGGCTAAATAAAGTATGTACTCCGTAGTTAGGCATCCAAGAATTTTCCTTCTCGTTGCATCGAAAAATCTCAGGCCAAAGGCGAATCCTACATCAAACGGCATAAATCCTCGAGTAGGCCAATCTTCAGGCTCACTCTGTCAGGCATCGAAGCCTCTAGCCAATCAAACCACACACCTCTCGGCCTTGTATCCTGGCTGGAATAACCCATTATGCATCAAGAGGACTCGGAAAAATACCGACCTTCCCGACAGATCTGGACCCGTCTGGTCCACTACATCGACTGCAACGCCCGAGTGTGAGGAATTGTTTCAAGTACGACGTAAACATCGTCAAATATTCAACAATAACAAGCTTCCGCCACTCATCGACCGCTTCCGAGTACGGCAGGAGAAGGTATATGAGGGAAAAGAGGACATGATTGCCGCCAGGGCATGCCGAGGCGGGCCTAATGCCGCACATCAGCTTCATCTCCTCTTCTGCTTGAACCCAAAACCCGTCTGATCTTTTGAACCATACACTCGTCGGCTCATAAATCAAGAGATCTCCCTTCCTGGGTCGGTAAATCCCCCAGATTGCTCGACTTCGGCTCCTTCCTGACTCTTTCGTTCCTAACCTGACTCAACTTGGTTGGCTTCAAGGTTCAAAACTGAGTTGGTGACGATGGGGTCTACCAACCACCTCGATGATCGTCGCATCGATCACGATGGTAATTCTAATGACAGTTCCAACAGAAATATGGACTACAACGTTTTGATCATTGGCGGGGGTTTTGGGGGATGCTACGCATTGCACCAGCTGCGCAAGTCGGGCTTTTCGGCACACATTGTGGAAGCCGAATCGGCGCTCGGCGGCGTATGGCACCGGAACAGCTACCCCGGAGCACGGGTTGACTCAGAGACGCCCTACTATCAGTTTTCTCTGAGGGAAGTCTGGAAAGACTGGACATGGTCGCAACGCTTTCCGGGGCACGAGGAGCTGAAGAGATACTTTAAACATGTCGACAAAGTTCTCGACATCTGTCGCAAAAACGACGCCGTTTTTGCGGGCAGCAATTAACGCCATATATACCCTACGACAACATCTCCAAAGACGCGTCCTACAATACTGTTGTGATCGGGGCCGATTTCGATACCGCAACAGCCAAGTGGATCATCACAACTGATGCGGGACGCATCATCACATCACGCTTCTTGGTTCCGGCGACGGGCAGTTCAATCAAACGCTATGAGCCCGATTTTAGGGGAAAGTGTTCCTTCAATGGCATTGTTATACACCCCACAGCATGGCCAGATTACGGCATCAATCTTCGGAACAAACGAGTTGCCATCATTGGATCAGGTGCGACAGGGGTTCAATGTGTGCAAGAAGTTGCGAAACAGCCCGGTGTTGAGCTGACTGTGTACGTACGAAATGTCAACATTGCGCTTCCAATGCGCCAACGCGAAATCTCAGAACTTGAGCAGGACAGCTTGAAAGCGATTTACAAGACACTTTTCAAGGTGGCGAGGGATAGCAGCGCCGGGCTACCATGCGATGGGCCTACTCAGGTTACGAAGTCGACCACAACGGAAGAGAGGGAGGCATGGTGGGAGGAACTATGGAAAAGAGGGGCATTCAACTTTCAGACCGGACAGTATACGGACTTCTTGGTGGAAGCGGAAGCGAACCGTTTGATTTACGAATTCTGGGCAAAGAAGACGAGGTCTCGGGTGCGGAACCCGGGGAAGCGAGCCATCTTGGTGCCTGACAAACAACCATACCCGTTCGGAACGAAACGAAGCAGCTTGGAGCAGGATTACTACGAATGCATGGACCAGGAAAATGTGGAAGTGGTAGATGTAAAGAAGACGGCAATCCGCGAATGGACAGAGCGCGGTATCGTAACCGAAGACGGAAGGGAGAGGGAGCATGACATTATCGTCTTAGCAACTGGATACGACAGTATGACTGGAGCTTTAACGAACATGGGACTTCGTGGGAAAGACGGGATCGATATGAAAGATAGGTGGAGACAGGGTGTTTGGACGTGTCTTGGCTTGATGACTCGAGGATGTCCAAACATGTTCATGATATACGGACCGCAAGGTAAGCATACATCATTGGGTCCCCTTTCTAGAAGACCTCAAGTGACTGACGACAACTGAGACAGCTCCTACAGCTTTGACAAACGCACCAGTATTCATCGAGCAGCAAGTGGACTTAATTACAGACTTCCTAGTGAAGCTACGCGCGGAAAAGATCACATCCATTGAGCCACGCCGTTCAGCTGAAGAACTCTGGAAGAAAAGAGTACAGGCAATACACGAGGTTCTACTTTTCAGCAAGAGCGATACATCATGGTACGTGGGAGGGAATATTCCCGGCAAGAAGAAGGAGCAGCTCAACTATCTCGGTGGAATCCCTCAATACCTTAAAGAATGCCGCGAAGGCACCAATGACTGGAGCAATTTCGATGTCGTCTGGGGAGTTAGAAGTGCGGACTAAATCAAAGTAATATTGAATACATGTAGACCAAGGCAATAATATTACTATGAGATGGGACGACGTATGTCGTAAGACTCAATGCCCTTCATCCTAAGGTGGGCTTATTTTCGCGCAGTCTAGGGAATTCTACAAAACTCGATATCGAACATGCTGTGAAACCTGGCACGAGTCCTCGGACAATAGCATTCCCAATCGGTCAAGACCCAAATCACATCATATAGGGCAGCACTTGACAACAATACCTTCTTCAAGTGTGTCAATCGTTGACTGGACAAAATACCTTGAACAGTTTTGCGAAACCACTCTTCCTCGCCCCAAGTGCTGTAGAGATGCAAAGTCTCCAGAGACTCCGGCAGAAGTGCCTCCAGGTCATCAAACAGGGGCTTTGCTGTGCCTTCTCTGTGCTCGTCCCTTTCTTTCCCGAGTAATACGTTTCCACTCATCGCCAGGTAAGTGAGAAGCTGCAGAGGCTGTAGACTGCCAATCTTCCCTCTCCAATTATTAGATTGGTACGAGTGACACGCGTTGGGGTAAAGATCTAGAGCCTTGAGGGAGGCCCCGTGCTCACGCAACACTCTACCGATCTCATCAAAGTCGAGGTAGCTGTCGCCAATCGCGTGTTGTCCCCACGATATATTAAGCGTCTGTAAAGAGGGACACGTACGCAGGAGATCGCAGATTCTCTGGGCGTCTGCGAGCGACGATCTGAGGTAAACATGTGCCAGAGAACTCACTCGACGAGAACGCTGCTGTTCAGAGGTCTGGTCATCTTTCGCCTGGGTATTGTTGAGGGTGACGCCGTGGCCGTAGAATCTTCAAAAGGGGCAGAAAAAATAAATTCTGGAATTTCTCCAAGGACACCGCTGCAGTCGGCATTCTAGTAGGCGGTGATGGCTAACGGCGAGCTCTTCAAGCTTTGCCAGCGGCAGCGGCACACCTGATGTCGGACCCGAGTCTTGTTGGTATCGTGGTGCCAGACTGGTCCCCTGGGATCCCGTGTGCGGGTCTTTCGCGTCCTCGACGGCTCCCACCGCCCCGATGTCAGCTGCTCGTCGAATCATGGCAGGGATGAATTTGTCGTTGGCCGTGATCAAGCAGTTGAACACCTTCAAGTTTGGCATGAGACCGGCGCAATGGGTATGCCACATTTCCGACCCGCCTTGTCGCCGCGAAGAATGAGATGGGCATCTGACCTCCGCTTCGAAGCCTTCGAGGCTCGATAGGCTCGGTGGTGGCCCCGTGTATCCGATGCTCTTATTATGGCGTTGGCTTCTCCTGAGATTGGGCGGGGTTTCGTAGTATTGCCCAACGAGAGCGGAAAGCATTCAGCGAAAGACCGTGACGATTGTCTTGCATAATGCATTCGACATATTGTGCAAGCAGCGGACGCTCCGCAAGCGTGCGCAGGAGGCTGGATAGGCGAATTTCCTCTTCCTCCAAGGGCAAGCGGCGGTATAGAACTGGTTGCGCGAGTCCCAGAAATCTAGCTGTTGGTATCACAGGCGTGATACATTTCCTCATGAGGGTGTATCTTCGGCAACAATCACGTCGATGTCCGTGATAATTGCTGTTGTTGTTCTTGTTCTTCCTATTTACATTGTGGGCAGGGGTCGGTCGAAGTAGGTGGTGACGGCCTGGGTGGTTGCCCCACCTTAACCGGCCGTGATGACTAAGCCAGTTGTCCCACTTCGCCCAGGGCAGGCGCCAGCCAGCCCACGATACCTGCCCATTGCTCCTTATCAGCCTTGCCGTTCCGACATTAGCAGAGACTCTGCAGCACCGTGCCAGCACTCTGAGGTCTTCGCTCCATGGCTCATGGACGGATCGAGGCTCGTGGGCGGGTTGAGAATTTTTGGCTTCGAATGGGTATTCGAAGTACCCAAATATTTGCACCCACACTTCGTTCGGGAGATTCGGCATTCTGGATCCCTCCTTCAAAATTTGATCATCAACGCAAGCTTCAAAATTTGGTTTCCATGATTATCACAAAGCGAGGTAGCAAGTGGAAGACTTGTATGGTAGAAAGTGGCTTAATTCCTCTAAGTGGAAGACCCGTATGAGGGTCCTATCTATATACCGTACAAGACGGGTAATCGGCTTGTGGAAAGCGGTATCGTACGGCAGTAACCGGCAGCGCCACGTGTGGCGCTGCGACAATGATGGATAAACGTCGCAAGTTATGGCGTTAAGCAATGGACCCATGGAGTGGGTAGAGAGTGGGTTTAACATCACAGTCGAAACTCACGAAACTGGAAGTTGCGTTACCCCCGCAATCTACGCGGTAAGCCTATTTCAGTACCAAAAATTCGCTAGCCTTCGCCACTGATTGAGACTAAGAGGCACGTATTATCTTAGTCAAAAGCTCTGTAAGATAAGGGAACTCGGGCTAACCCAAAGTCCAATCGAGCTTCGTGGGTTGGTTGCTACGGTAACATAGAGGTATTGGACCGAGGAAAGAAAGTACCTTAGTCCATCAAGCGAACGTGAGATTCACGTGATATGGCAGGCGGTAGGTAGTGCTACTGTTGTGTGATATTTTATAGGTGTCGCAAAAACGACGCCGTTAATTACGGGCAGCAATTAACGCCATATATACCCTACGACAATAGGCGGTGGGTTCTTAAATGGGCACGATCGAGTTTGCTTCCCGTTGCACCGGACAAGTTGAGTGATGGCTCTTGATGTCTTACGAAAAGATGAAGCACTATTTCAACCACACACGGTGTGCCAATACTCAAATTGAGAGCTTCTCTGCGATTTCCAGGTTGAAGTCGCCTTCAATAGATACATCTCCCGTTCACTCTGACTCGATACCTAAGTGTGTTGTTTTTATGCTTTACTAGACGGACAGAAATAAGGCATCGTTAAGCTGTAATTCGATAGTATCCCTCAAGATACGTCCTAATGTATTGGGGTCAATTCTGCTCAAGTTCTCAACACAGGTGACCCACTTCTGAATAAGATCAGCATATGATTTGCTTCCTCGGTGATTGTAAGTTGATGCCGGTACGTTCTCCCATAGCTTTTTATTAATTCTTGAGGTCGATACTCAAAAGGCTGCTAGCTTAAGTTTGCGATTTTACAGACGTCAACGCACAATTCATGAGATGTACCTTCACGAGGAGATAGTACTTTAGCTTCCTTGCCGTCTTCTGTCTTCCTGGAGATTGCGGTATCCCATCGAGTGCTGCAAGGCGACAGTACATTGAGATGCGGGGGAGCAGCCAATCGGGCCACTTCGGGCCCCTTTTTCCAACCAACCAACGTAATTGATAATAGATACTTCCAATTACTAGAGATTCTGCGTATGAAATCGGTACCAGCAATCTTCTGAGTTACAGAGAGCTACATCGCACTCGAGGCAGCCCATCCTCGTGTACTTCCCAGGGATACCGGGCTCAACCTCCGGAGGCTCGCGGGGCCGAACAGTGGCATTATCACATTGCTCCGGCGTACAGTCGGCAGTGCAGGCGGCGGCGAGGTCCTCGGGCAGCAGGGCAAAGATACACGACTTCGCCGAGCCCGTGGAACGGCCAGATCCGTCAGAATCGTCAGAATCCATTAATTGAGTATTGGTAATGATGGATTTGGTAGATGTACCGGAGTGGAAATCATAGGGGCAACTCAAGCAGTGGATGTACCAGATGCGGTGCGGGGTAAAAGGGGGCCCGTTATGTGGAGCCAATGTACTGTCGCCTTGCAGCACTCGATGGGATAGAGTCACTCCAAGATAAAGCTTTAAATATAATCAAGTCATGATAACCTCTAACTTTTCCAAGAGCAATAGCAAAGTGTTGTCATAACTTTCTCAAAGTAGGAACGCATGCTCAGCGTCCCTTCCTCGACTAAAAAAACACCGTCTCAGAACATTGATAGCTCTGCTACCCATCACAGTCATCAGCCTTTGCCGAGGCATCCCCAAAATCGCCGTCAGCATTCTCCTCCCCCGCCTCGAGCTGCTCAACATCAGCAGAATCACTAAGGCCACTCATGCAACCATGAACTCAACTAAAAGTGTCGGCAAATGAACGGAAGCTCGGCCTCAACATCCGGTCTTCCAGCCAATACGGCAAGCAAGATCATACATCGCGGCTACCTTCCCCATCCCTTCTCCTTCTTGATCAGACGAAAAGACAAACCTATGACTTCCTTCTACGGCCCAGATCTTCATCCCCTCGGTGCCACCTCCCTACCTCATAACCCCCACATGCCATGAAGCTCTCTACTTTATCTCTTCTGTACAACATGAATTCAAATCGCGCCCGCTAAGCTTCACCAAGCTTTCCATCCCACTTCATACTCAAAAGTTAGGGTTTGCGTGGCGGCGGAAGGCGTACTACCCTCAACTACCCCTCCTCTCCAAACCCCCCCACGGCATAATGCTCTGAGTAACTCTCGGGAAGTCTAATTCTCGCAAGAAGGAGGGGAGTAGAAGAAAGCACGGATTCAATCAAGACACATGGTTGAGACGCACCAAAGTCCAAAGCCGAGGGAAAATGAAGAAACCCAGCTGATGACTGTGTTTATTTTGCACAGACCTTGCGTGAGATAGGGGAAACACAGACACACACGGGTATCATCATCTACACTGTGATTGCTTATCCGTACATGAGGCTCAACCCCGCCAGACGCTCCCTTGTCCTTTTATAGTGAAAAAGTCTCACAAAAGCTCCATACCCGTAGACGGAAAGAGTACAACAACGTTCGGATGACGGAGCTTTCCACAGCATGCCTAGAAGAGTTCGGGACCCAACAGTACCGAGCCTCTTGTCTCCGTGTCGAGCATCCCTTCCACCCGAAGCCCGTGACATCTGCCATACCGAAGGAGGGAACCGACCCTGCACGTTGCCGAATGTTGGCACGGGTGTGGCTTGACGCTGTATGTGGCGCTAGTATGATCAAGCGCCACAAGTGAGGGGTAGTGTGGCTGTGCGTGCTGCCAAATCGTCACTATGACCTGTGGCTTGTCGCGCATTGGTCCACCGTTTTTATGGCCGACACCAAAAACCTGCTTGAGTTCGATCTACAGGGGAAACTCGATTCTGATAGGCGGCTTTGTTTCTAAGAATGTCCTGCCAGTAACTCTGCCAGTTGTTGGCTGTTGTGCAATTGTGAGATTCACGTTGGTGGCAAGAAGTATTGGGATGTGCGGGACAATGAGAAGGTCGGGGTTGGTTGCGTGGTTGCATGGTTGCTTGGTGCGAATCCCTATCTCTTTCCTCACCTATTTCGAAAGCCCATCACTATTGCGAAGTGAACTGAAAGTCGTTCTGCTTGGCTCCGTTGTGTTACTTAGCTGCCTTGTCACTAAGTCGATTCAACTACTACGTCCATTTATCATCAGAGGTAATCAGGGGACTCTACAACGGCCACACCCCCAGGACGACAAGTTGGAACCCGAATGCAGTGCCACCACTCTTAATCCGTATCTCGAAAACCAGGAAACCACGTGAATACCTAGTCGTAGGCCTGAGTCCGGCCTGAGTCCCTCGAAATCTTCCTAGATCGCGATGCTCCCTGTACGCTCAGAAGCACGCCATAAGATAGGCGAGCCGGAACTCTGCTCGTCGGAACAAGAAGCAGAGCAACGCCTGACTAGCCGACCATACTGAAGGCAGGGTCAAACTTTCGGTGAAAATTACTACGGAGTAGACAGTGTCTGACTCTGCTCACCTCGATAGACTCAAAAGGCCATGGCCCTGCCCGCTCCCGCGATAAGGCTTCCAATTTCGATACTACCTTATTACATTGCATGCCCAAAGTTCAACAATCTCGTTATCTTCGCAGTGGCTCATGCACCCGCGCCGCAGGCCGCACGGGAAGAAGGGGGGCGCGCATCCCATAACTGTCAAGAAATGCTTGGTCCCCTTAACGCTAGGCCCGAATAGAACGGAGCATCTTGCCAGATTCGGGCCAACCTCGAGTCGTGAGTCGTGAAGGTTGTTTACTGGACAAGGGGGGGGGGTTTTGCCCGACACGGTAGATGGTGGAGCACTGGAGACAAAGGCTCAGCCACACCCTTGCATTCACCTGTCTGCGGGACATTCTTTTCTCTCTTTTTGATACGGATACATGAATCAACTTGATGGCGGAACGCATCCGTACTACTACCGTGCCCTCAAGTGTGGACTGACCACCTCCGCTTTTGCTTACCTGATCATTCAAACTCTGTCTTCGGCTTGGACGAGTTAATTGCTATTGTGGAGATGATTTTCCAAACAAGATATCGTGGAGGGTGGGAGCAAATAAGTAGGAATGAGGGTGTATTGGCCGGTGCTGGTCGAAAGTTCGAGAGCAAAGACCTCGCAGAGAATCCATGGTGGAGGCCCAGTCAGCGTAATGACCTGAGGGAGAAAATCTTCGATCAGCAGAAACAAGCCATCGAACGGCCTTTTGCTCCGAACTGCCAGGTGGATATACCATAACTGATAAGACAGCTCTTCGCGATGACGGGGGAAAAGTGTAGGGGGCAAAGGAATGTAAAGTCGACGTTCTAGAACGCCGAGGTCGAAGGGGCCGCCGCTGTCTAGTGTACGGTCCCGGGTCTGCTAGACTTTCGCCCGTCGTGGCCCGCATATGCCACAGCTACAGCCTACACCTCCCTAGATCTTCTCCAGACTCCTGGTGATGCGCCGATGTGGGCGATCAAACCGACGCCATTCCCGTGAGAATCGGAGTGGTTGGTTGATGGTGCGGTACGGGGTGTCGACTATGCATCGGAACATGGGATGGCAGGGCCCCTGTCAGGCAGCTCTTTGGAGTTTGAGGTCCAGGGTGACATCTGGTTGGTAGTCGAAATCATCGAATGTTGCGGTTCATGATGCCGAAGCCCCTATTGTCCGTTACCGCCCGTCAGAAGGCTTTTCCCACACCAGAAGGGAAAAAGAGCCTTGCCGGTATTTGGGGCCGTTGAGCTGACCAGTAGGAAACAGCCGCGGAAATGGGGAACTGGGGAACTGGGGTTTACGGCGGTCCCTACTCCCTAGTTGGCTATTGAAGTAACCCGTTGACAAGGCGTTCTGGATTTCGCTCCCGGGACTTGTGGGTTGTCGTGGTTGTGAAGGTGCCGCAGGTGAAACAAGGCGCACATATTTTCTATTTTTGTTTACACAACGTCATGGTTCGCGCTTGGCCGGGGCGTGGTCTGGCAGCGGCTAACGTTGATTCTCGGCATAAGAAAACTTGTGAGCCACTAAGCAGCCCAGCTAGTGCAAGGTTTAGGCCGTTATGTAAGCCCATGTCGAGTCTTTTGCTGGTGACTTTAGCTGACATTAGCCCACTGCGGCGTGTGCGAGGCGGCGAGACTCGAGAAAGTCAGCACGTCGGGAATGTGGGAGGACCTTCGGGACCGGTGGGGCCAGAGCGAGGTGCCAGAAAGCCGAGACGGTGCCCGTAGTATCGGCTAGGAACATTGTCGCAGCAATGCCGAAACGGCGCCGGGGTCCTCTGCTGTAGGGTTGGAAGTATTGGCTTCAGGTCTGTCTTGATCGGACTCTCAGTCATCGCGGCACCAGAGTTCGATATTCGGCCCAGTCTCGCGATGCGAATGGGTTGATAGTCGTCTGGACTCTAGAGAAATTCCGAAAAGTTGAAATGAAGACTGAGACGTCTGCGAACCCATCTTGAGCAAGTGCCAGAAAAGTGACAAAAAGTGGACGGACGGTTCACGGTCCAGATTGCGCGGATCAAGGGTAGGTAGGCGAGATGGCGAGGAACATGAGATTCACCTCGAGTCTGGGGGCCGTAACAAGCTCAATTTCCATCGTGTATCGACCTTATTGGGAGGGCCCGCGGGTCGACGTTCGCCTGCTGAAATGTGGCCCGAGGGAAGGAAGTCCAGCAAGATTGGTGATGCAAGATGCGCGATGCTGCAGTGACCGCCGTTAAGCCAAAGTCTAATTCGTTATGATTGTTCCCGCTGGGTGTTGAAGTGCTCGTTGTTTATTGCCAGCATCCAGGGCTATCGCCGCCTTCTAACGCCTGACAAGGCTGGGTTGACAGTCGAAGACGGATAAGCAGCTCTACTCCGTATTGAAGCTCATCTAAGCCACGCCGTGTCCCGTGTTTTCCCCCAACGGCTCGCTCAGGCGTGTCAAAAGCACAGCCCATATGGAAAGTAGATGAGAGCGAATCGAAAGTGGGCGGTGGGTGATTTGGTGATTTCGATAGTGATAACGGCCGTGGTGGCAGTGCATGAATTATCGCGGTAGGGTCAGGGAACAGAAATCACAAAAGCGTCCCACAGGATTGAATGATCATGGGCGGCATTTCCAGAACGAACGGGGCGATCCCCTGAATGGGATCTAACCACCGACCACAATGAGGGCCCAGTCCAGTGCGGAAAGTTGGGAGCGAAAGAGACGCTTGAAGCTGCCGTCGGGTCTGGCTCTGGCTTTGGCTCCCTAGACCAAAACTCTTTTCCAGATGTTAATGCCGTGAACAACGGACGGCGGCACAACTTCCGCTTCGGGGGCGAGCTGAAAAGAATTTGGAGCCGCGACAATGGGACGGCCTGGTGTCAGCGCATGGCCAAACGCCGTGGACTCTCCCTTCCACCACCTC